AGTCTCAGTCTCAGGATTTTTTACTCTAAGCCTCCGGGAGACGTGGTATTCCCGCTGTTTTGAGTTCTGGGTAGCCAAGCCAAGAGAAATGCTGCCTCTCACTATTCCACCATCTTTTCTCCCTCTGTATTATTATTTTTTATTGTTTTTTCCCCATCAGATATATTTAATTTATGGTCAGTTGAAGATGCAACAGGTATTGAGGGCCAGATTTATATATTTGCATACACATACATGTACCTGTAAATACACATTATTGAAGGAAGTATGATAGCTTTTTATGGGAAATATATAGGATAAATGATTTAGTTTGGCAAATTTGGAGCATTTTTGATTAGGGAATATAAGATTTTATTAATCTTAATAATGTCTTACATAGTGCAACACTTCACAATTTTTTTCCAAAGTATTTTCTTGTTTTGGAATTGATCACTAATCTGAATAAGCACAGTGTTGCATCTGATTTTCTTTATTACCTTGTTATCYGCTTCCCCAACTCCTTCTCACCTCAGGCTTTTGACAAACTGCGAGTCTTGACAGTGGTGATATGCAAGTGTTCTGCATTTGGAAATGTGTCACCTGTTCTTTTGAARGTTATGTCAAATACCTTGGGCAGATTTTGTGAGTCATAGGCATCATCATGGTGGATAGGTAACATTGTAATATATAATAGATGGAAAAGATAGTTGTTTTATGCTAATGTCAAGGTTTTCATATATATATATTTATATTTATTAGAGCTTTGTWCTTATACATAGTAGTTGGGTTCATCCTATGCATGCATGGAAATAGATTTCAGTTAAGGTTTTTATCTTTAATGTTTTATAATTATTGTCCTTGAAACCTTAAAAAAAATGAGAAAATAGGGCTGGGGTTGTGGTTCTGAGGTAGAGGGCTCGCCTAGCAAGTGTGAGACACTGCGTTCGATCCTCAGCACCACATAAAAATAAAATAAAGGTATTGTGTCCACCTATAACTAAAAAATAAATATTTAAAAAAATTAGAAAATTGAAGAAACTTCCTTATTAGTGTCTAATAAAAATTATATTCTGACATTTAAGCAAAATCCTTCACTCCATTTAATTAACTCTTTTCAAAAAAGCATATACATCTCATAAAATCTAAGATGTCAGAGAGCTAGCTGTAAGCATTAAAAATGTCATTCTTTTTCATCCATTCTCACTACCTGGGCAGATAACAAATAAATAATGAGTGAAGCCTAACAAAGGGAAATTATAAGAAAGTGTATTGAGAAAATAGTTGATTAAAATAATGGACATTTAGAAGGAAAGAATTTTCCATACCCAAATGAGATGGTTATGAGATGGCTTAGCATGCATTTTATAATTATACTTGAATAGGATACATTTTAGAAAGGATGAATTGATTTCTGTCTAAATTCTGTTGTGAAACTTTATTAGATATAGAATAATAATCCATCTCTGTTCTTTAACCAAATCCTGTTGGTTCTTTCTACTTTGGCTTTCTCATCTGTAAATGGGGATAATATTGATCTCAAATTTTTGTTAAGAATTAATACTCTTATGTTTTTTAATGAGTTTTACTATACTTTTAGAAATCAGTCTTCACAAACTGGATTCCCCAAAATATTTGCTTTAGATTCCATAGTACGAATGAAATGTTTGTAATACTAAATATAGTTAGCCTTTTACATATGAAAAGTTTGTACTGTGAGTGGATTAGTTTCTTTTAAAAAGAAAGAAAATGATTTAGGTTTTTTAGAAGAAAATTTTATTAGGTCTCATCTGTGCAATAGTTTTTTTTTTTCCCCCCTAATACTACGTATAGAACCAGGACCACTTGACTTATGCATTCTAGGCAAGTGCTCTACCGTTGAAGTACAACCCAACCACTGCTATTTTTCATTTTGAGACAGGGTCCCCTAGGCTAGCCTTCAACTTCTAATCCTCCCTCACCTCCTTAGTAGTTGGAATTACAGATGTCTATCACACCCAGCTAGGCAGATAGTTTTGACTAATTTTTTAGAATAAGAGAAGTTTGAATAGTCACTGGTATTGTCATATTTTTGTTTCTTAAAGAATAAAACTGTCTGAATGGTGTGTAGAAAGTGGTGGAATTACTTGGTCACTTTATATGTGAGCCTTTAGGAAAGAGGACTTATAATTCATTACTAGCCTTAATTTTTGTACCATATTTAAAAATTATACCATGCAAACCCTCCATATATGTGAGCATGGTTTCATTATTAAATTCAATAACTTAGAATTTTATTTACAAAAGAAATGTTTAGATCACTGAATAGATAATTTAATTTATGAATTAAAAAATAAATGCTATTTTTCTAAACAAAAATAATGTAAAATTATGTAAAGAAATATTTGGAGTCACTAACTAGTAACACAAAGGAAATGTTTATTAAAAGATTTTCTGGTTGAATCTAAAGTATAAATTTTTCTCTAGTCCTTCAGTTTTGTCTCTTTATTCTGATTCTTTTACTTGGTCAAAGAGTATTTCTGTTGGCTTAATTTGCTGCCCTCTCCTGTTTTCTCTTCTTTTAAATTTGTCTCTTATTTTATGTTATACATATGTATCTTCTCTCTGGACACCGCTTTTCTGTAGTGTATTCTTACATGATAATTTACATCCCTTATTTTTTTTTTCAGACAATGTTCAAGAACTTTTACTTTTGCCTTTCCCTTGACTTGTCACTCTCCCTGATCTAATAGGATTTGTTCTTTACCCACTTGCAATTTAAATGTCCCTTTCTTTGTGTCTTTTTGTATTAAGCAGATGGCATGAGCCGTGTACACGAATTCCTTAATTCCTCTTACCATTTTCAAAACCAAGCTTGAACTATTATTTTCTTTTTCTTAAAATTTGGTACCAGGGATTCAACTCAGGGGCACTGGACCACTGAGTCACACCCCCAGTTCTATTTTGTATTTTATTTAGAGACAGAGTCTCACTGAGTTGTTCGGCGCCTTGCTTTTGCTGAGGCTGGCTTTGAACTCTTTTTTTAAAAAAATATTTTAGTTGTAGTTGGACACAAAACCYTTATTTATTTATTTATTTTTGTGTGGTGCTGAGGATTGAACCCAGAGCCCACACGTGCTGGGTGAGTGCTCTACCACTGAGCCACAACCCCAGCCTCTGGCTTTGAAGTTCGAGCTGCTGGGATTACAGGCATGCACCACCCTGGACGAACTGTTATTTTTAAGGATCGTACTAGCTAGCCCAATCTGATTTTGCTCATTTTTTTTCTTTTTATAAGTGGTGCATTTAAGAAAGTTTTTATGTTAATTCTTRTTTGTTTTGATTTTTGGTACTGGAAATCAAACCCATAACCTCTGCTACTGAGCTGGTATCCATAGCTCTTATTAATCCATTTTTTGCTTGTGCATTATAGGAAGACTCTTTATTTATTTTTTTCTGGTGTGTGTGTTTCATTTAGATTAGAGTCTATTTAAGGTAAGGAGGTTTGATTGTCCTTATTTCTGTATTTTCCCCTTCCAGCACACTAACATATAATCCAATATCCACTGATTGACTCATCAAGGTGCTTATCGTGGCTTCTTATCTTGGCTATTTTTCTCAAAGGTGTGAGTTAAAATTCTGATCTATGTTTTATGTGTAAATCAGTTGACTTAAAATGTTCAATATTAATTGTAACACTACCACTGAGACCAGTCTTTGACATTTGATATAGGCTGGTTGATATAGTTCTTTGGGAGGTATTATTTTTATAGTTTATACTTGACAGTGTTGAATAAAATAAAAAGCAGGTAAGTTAAATCTTTAGATCATTATTTTTATATCTCTACAAAGAAATTTAAATTAGTCTTAGCTGGTAGCTCTAAAAAATGGTCTTTTTGTCAARAAGAGAAGAAAAATGCTATCAATATGATCAAGCCTACTAGAGCAATAGATGATATTCTTATGCTAAAGCTCTTTCTAACCATGAAATTGCTAATCCAGAATCAGAATTGGCATAGTATATTGTTATCTTTCTTCTAACAGAAATTATTTGAAATAAGTTTTAATTTTTTAATTCAAATGAAAGTTATTGTGTATGGAATAGTTTTTAAAATTTCTTTCTCAACAAATTTATTTTTGGAGTATAAGAAAGCTATTGATTTTTGTATGTTGATCTTGTATCTTGGTATTTGGCTAAATTTGTTTATGAAATCAGATGTCTTCTGGGGGAGGTTTTTTTTTGGGGGGGGGAGGAGAGGGTCCTGAAGGTATAGAATCATGTCATTAGCAAACAGAAATAGTTGGACTTCCTATTTGTATTCCTTTAATTTTCTTCTCTTGCCTGCTTGCTCTGGCTAGAGTTTAAAGAACTCTATTGGATAGGAGTGGTGAATGTGGACATCCTTGTCTTGCTCCTTATTTTAGAGGAAATGTTTTTAGTTTTTCTCTATTCAGTATGATGTTGACTTTGGTTTTGTCAAATATAACCTTTATGATGGTAAGGTAAGTTTCTTCTATCCCTAGATTCTCTAGTGTTTTTAACATGAATGAGCGTGAAGTTTTTCAGTCTTTTTCTGCAGCTCTTGCAATAATTATGTGATTTTTGTTCTTGATTCTACATTGCATACCCCAATTAATCCGTTAGATTTTATTTTATTTTATTTTTTGCAGTAGTGGGGATTGAACCAAGGGGTGCTCTATGTCCCAAACCTTTTGTGAAAAAGTGTTCTGTTTTGAGAAAGGGCCTACCCAAGTTGCCCAGGCTGGCCTTCTRCAACAGCCTTCTGAGTTGCTGGGATTACAGGCAAGTGCCACCACTCCTGGCTAGGAATCCAGTAGTGTTTTCATTTTGTGTCAACATTTTCATGGCAATACTTATGTTATATTAGTAGAGTTTAGTCATGTGGACCAATCATAAAACCACAAGTTAATATTTAGTAATTCTTAAATATTTTATTGTTTTATATTTATAATATCGACTAAGACAATATTGGAATAATTAGAAGTACTAGGAAAAGAAATACATTTTTAAATTGATATTTCAGAACTTGTCTGAAAAGTTGCTGAAGAAGGAATTGGATTACACCCAGTTAGAGGAGAAATATAATGARGAATCTGTGAGTAAAAAGAATATACAGGCAACCCTTCATCAAAAAGACCTAGATTGTCAACAGCTTCAGTCAAGGTTATCTGCATCTGAAACCTCACTGCAGAGGATACAGGCAGAACTAAGTGAAAAAGGAGAGGCAACCCACAAGCTCAAAGAAGAATTATCTGAAGTAGAGACTAAGTACCAGCATCTTAAGGCAGAGTTGAAACAGCTACAGCAACAGAGAGAAGAAAAGGAGCAGCATGGGTTACAACTCCAAAGTGAAATTAATCAAGTAAGTGATATTAGTTTTATTTATTGTAATTCTCCTTATGGTTTCTTCTTAGTCATGCAGACCAATCACAAAACCACAAGTTAATATTTAATAATTCTTAAATATTTTCACTATTTTATATTTGTAATATTGACTAAGATAATATTGGAGTAATTAGAAGTATTAGGAAAAGAAATACATTTTAAAATTAATATTTTAGAAATTGTCAGAAAAGTTGCTRAAGAAAGAATTGTATTACACCCAGTTAGAGGAGAAATATAATGAAGTTATTGATCATAATATAGTTCATGTTAAAAAAACTATCATTTAAAAAATTAATTCTTCTTTATTTTCTATATTTCTTAGTAATATCAGATCTCATACACTTCAATTTCAATTTCCCTTAAGAAAACAAAAGTTAATATCCATTTTACAGCATTGTTGTGAAGCATTTATGAATTAACACATATAAATTGCTTAGAATGCATTGTACCTGGTACATGGTAGGTACTTACTGGGTTTTAGCTACTATAATTAATTGTTGACCACTCTTTAGTTTAAAAATTCACCTTTTTTCTTTTTTTGCTACTAACTTTTAACAGCATAATAAAACCACCAGTATAAAAATTAGACATTTTAAAAGTGGAAGACAAATTATAAAACTATTTAATAGATAAATAATACCTACCTGATAAAGTTTGATACAAGTTCTGATTTTGCCATTAACTTATTTTTTAATGCCTATTCTAATTATTGCTTATAGATAACATAAAATTTGATTGAAAAATGGAAGAGATTAAAATTCTGATGGAGATTAAAGTTCTCACATTTAAAAATTTTTCATTTACTTTTACTTAATTAAGTAGCAATGATATTTTATTGTAATTAGTTATTCTCATGGCTTTCCTACTCCTTTATAATGATGATTATGATAGTCATTTATTGAGCTTCAGTCATGTTTCAGGAATTAGAGTAAATACTTCACATTTACTGTCACTAAATTTTGAGATTAGACTGACCATGAGACAATGGATCAGAATAGTTAGGAATTTTTCTCTAGCTTGTCCTTGCCTGCTGTCTTTCCACTGCCCTGAACTTTCAATTGTATGTGTAAACCACTATAACAACTTCCATTTAGCCACCAAAGTAATCTGTTTTAAAAGCAAATCTTACCATGTTCCCAATCTGCTTATACCCTCTAATAGTTCTTATGGCYCAACAGATGAAGTTCAATGTTTGTTATGATATGGAGCACCCCCAGTGATTTGTTGGAATACCCACTAAGTTCTGTACAATTCTTTATTTTATTTTCCCCTGCAAGAGTACAGAAGTGTTTTTATTTTTTTCTTTAAGTTATACTGTATCTTGATTTTGTACTATTCATTCTGTTTTCTTGATCTGAAATATTCTTCCTGTTTCTCTTGACCTTGATAAATTCTACTTACTTCTCATCACTTTTCTAGACATCCCTTTGTAAACACCCCATTGCTCCTTCTATCCCCAAGATGGCTAAGGCATGCACAAACTGTGAATATTTTACTTGCCACAGTGGATTATTTATYACAATTTATGTTTTCATTAGACTGAACTCTTTGGATGCAAAGACCATGTCTTATTCATTTTTTAAAAATCCTTACTACTTGGCACATACTTAGCAAATGTTACAAGGAATAAATGAGTGAAGAAATAAATGAAGGCATTCATAATGGGGGGAAAGTGAGACTTGATAATATTAGTATATAACTTGAAAATGAATTTTGTTTTTACTTTAGTTCACATATACAAATTTAGCATTTATGCTTTCTAAAAGACACCGTTGCCTCATTTGTTAAGGGATACAGAAGCAAATGGGAAATGGTACCTGCCTTTAGTRATTATGTATACATAATCTCAAGGGGAGGATAAGGCAAGTATTATCCCATACCATGATCATGATAATCATAATATAATAATCCCATATGCTATGGGAATTTGAACGAGTTCCTCACTTCTGTTTTTTTTTTTCATTGTAGTACTTCCCTTTATGCATTTTTTTAAACCTAATTATATGATCAGGGAAAGTTTTGTATGTATGAGAGCTGTTCCTTGAAATTGTAATATTGAATAGGTTTTAACACATAGCAGTTTGAAAGCAGAAGAGTCTTCCTGCCAGAAGGATTAGTGAGAAGCAACTAGTGGCAGAAAAATATTACAAAAAGAAAGGACAAGGGCTGGGGCTTGCCCCAATTTGCCTACCATGCGTGAGGCACTGTGTTCAATCCTCAGTACCACATAAAAGTAAACAAAAAAATAAAGGCATTCTGTCCATCTACAACTATCAAATAAATAAATAAATAAATATTTTTTAAAAAGGACATTGATTTGTTCTTAGGTAAGGTCTATATAATAGGAGTGTATATTGTTTCTAGAAAGAGCATATGAGAATTTATTATGTAGGGTGCTCAACAATAGGTCTAGAAATTTTTGCTTTAGTTGGTTGTCAGTGGGTGGAGGGGCATTAAGGAATTTTGAGAGCCCACTTAAACACAATGAGACTTGAATTTATGATTATTTGATTTAGTCACCATTTTGTGTAAAATAAAGAGGTCATACTGAAGACCTTGAAGTGATGCCATTTATCTTCTTTCTCTCAGCATGTTGTCTGTATTCTRCCTTCAAAATATGTTTCAAATCTTTGCACTTCTATCCATCTACACTGCCAGCATTCTTAATCTAAGCTACCATCTTGCCTATCTGGAATACTGTATTACGTTCTCACAGTTTCCCTTTTAGTGGTCTCCTTAATGGATTCTCCATATAGAAGCCAGAAGTACCTTTTTAAAGCATGTAAGTTTAATCCTCTGCTTAATGCTTTCACTTGCCTAGTAGTTTTTTTTTTTTTTAAAGAGAGTGAGAGAGAGAGAGAGAGAGAGAGAGAGAGAGAGAGAGAGAAGAATTTTTAATATTTATTTTTTAGTTCTCGGCGGACACAACATCTTTGTTGGTATGTGGTGCTGAGGATCGAACCGGGGCCGCAAGCATGCCAGGCGAGCGCGCTACCGCTTGAGCCACATCCCCAGCCCAGTAGTTTTTCATTACACTTTCAATTGATTCAAGCCTTCTTTCTTTGGCATGTGCACTTCTGTGTATATAGTGTTGCCTATGTTATGGCTTCAGGCTCCTCCCAAACCATTGTGAATCCATGTTGATTTCAATTCCTCAAACACACCAACACTTCAAGCTGTTTTCTATCTTAAGTTCTTTACCTATGTTTTTTTCCTCCTCCTCCCTATCCTTTCTTTCCTCTTTCTCTTATAGTTCCTCTAGTCTTCCTCCTTTTCCTCCTCTTTGTCTTCCTTTTCTTCCTCCTCTTCCTCTCCTTCCTCTCCTCCTACTCCTCTTCCTTCTTTATTTTTTTTTCTTCATGTTTTATGGGTGTTTTTTTTTTCAAGGTACTAGGAATCGAACCTAGGCACTCATGCTTAATATTAAACACAYTTGATTTTGTGTGTTAATGAGATTTACGTGCTAACTGTTCTTAGTGCGTAAGCCTTGCCAAACGTCTTGCATACTCATCTCCACACTCCTAGCATAGTAATGCTTCTGAAATTAATATAAACTTTTTTCCTTTTTGTTTAATRAAAAGAGTAAAAAGGAAATCTCCCTACCCCTTCAAGGAAAAACCCAATAGTTATTCTGGTTGTATTAATACAACCAGAAGAAATCATTCTGTTGTTAATACAACCAGAATAATACAACCACATCATTTGAAAAAGTGGTGGTTCTTAGCTCCAGAGAAAATGGCTCCTGTAACTCATTAGGGTTTTGTTTTGTTTTTGTTTGGGTGCTGGGGGCTGAACCCAGGGACTTAAATGTGATAGGCAATTGCTCTATCACTGAGCTATATATATATCCCTAGTCTCTTGTTGACATTTCTTAGGTTAATAAATGAGGATCACTTAATGTTTTCCTTTAAAACATATAATTGTTTTCTACATTTTATTTAGAAATTGCATGCCAATTTGAGGACTGGGGAATGCTTTGAGCTCTGTTCAATACCCAAGTTTAAGAAGTCAGCTGGGGTGGTTCTTAACATAGAAATGCAGCAGGAATCACTGTGGATCTTTGAAAAATACTGTCAAATTTCATTTTATTATTTTAAGTTCCTCAAGTGATGGCAATACTTAYATCCAAACAAGAGCCCTTGGTCCTGTTTATTTTATTTTTTTAAGAAAGCAATGAAACTATTATGAGCAATAAAATCTATAATGCTTAGTCATAATTTTATGTGATTAAAATTCACTTGCAGATTAAATTATTATGTAAGATCTTAGGTTTCTGCAAATTGTAATGAAAATTAGATAGTATGCTTCTATTGGTGAAAAAGAAATATTGTTTTGAAAGTAGGTGGTAGTGTGTGTGTACGTGTTTACACACATGCATATATATGTACTTTTATTTRTTTATTTTTTAAGTTACACAGCAAACTTCTGGAAACTGAGCGCCAACTTGGAGAAGCTCATGGTAGGCTGAAGGAGCAGAGACAGCTTTCCAGTGAAAAGTTGATGGATAGAGAACAACAAGTGGCTGACTTACAGCTCAAACTTTCTCGTTTAGAAGAAGAGGTAAGCTAGGCTTTTAAATGAGTTGATACTAGCAACTTTATTGATGAACTTGAGACATCTTTTGTTTTTGTAGTACTGGAGATTGAACCCAGGGATACTGTACCACTGAGCTACATTCCAAGTCCTTGTAAATTTTTTGACAGGGCTTTGCTAAATGATTGAGGCTGACCTCAAACTTGCCTCCTGCTTCAGCCTCCCCTGTTGATGGGATTATAGATGTGTGCCAATTTGCCTGGCATGAAGCATCTTAAATATGGTTGTGGTTCATCAGTATTTTAATTGYCAACAACTTTACTTGTTTTTCTACTTTCAACTGAAACATTTACTTTTCCCCAATGAAAATATCCTGCTTATTAACTATATTAAATCACTACATTTTACTACAACTGTATTTCCCCAAAGTTCTCAACAAAGTAGCACAAAGAAAACTCTTTTTCAGCTAGGTAGGAAAAGTTCTGGRGTTTATCTTCTGTCATGCTGCTGGAGTGAAACAGAGAGCAATGAATAGTTGGTGAGGATCATTGATGACATGTAGTTTGKGCATATAAACTTTACATGTAAGGATGTTCACTTTAAAAATTAGGTATGTGATTATTATTCTAATTCAAGTTGTAATTGTTCAACATGGTACCCACTGTATGATTAAAGGGAAAGTTATCATTAAGTTATGTCTTTTATTTGAGTTGAATAAATATTCAGAATTAAAATCTATAGTTTTAGTAATAAATTTTCTTTTAAGCTGAAATCTTAACTATAGTATATGATCTGATTTTTTTTTCCCAGTGAAGTGACTATTAGAGAAAAAAATGAAGTGCTGATTCTGTGGGTTAGATTGTTGTTAAAAAACAAATTATATGTAATTAATTGTTCATATTGGTATACAAAAACAATATTGAACAGATGCTAACCTAGAGAAAGATCTGTATTTTTTTAGGATAAAAGTCTATCACTAGAGAATAGTTTATTCATTATGAGATGATGATTCTATAAATGTCACATTTTTTTTTATCTATTCATCTATTGAAGGGCATCTAGGTTGGTTCCACAGTCTAGCTATTGTGAATTGTGCTGCTATGAACATTGATGTAGCTGTATCCCTATAGTACGCTCTTTTTAGGTCTTTGAGGAATCTGAGAAGGGGAATAGCTGGGTCGAATGGTGGTTCCATTCCCAGCTTTCCTAGGGAGATGATGATTCTATAGGTAATAATATATTGCTTTTAAAGTTGATATCTTCCAGACTGAATTTATTTTTGTGTTCATATTTGAAAATTGAAGTAATGTCAAATATTTATTAATGGTRGTATTATGCCTTTAAGTTGTCAACTGACAGTCTACTTTTTTTTTTTTAAGTTGAAGGAAAAAGTAACAAATTCCACAGAATTGCAACATCAGTTAGATAAAACCAAGCAACAGCATCAAGAACAACAAGCTCTTCAGCAAAGCACTACAGCAAAACTTCGAGAAGCTCAGGTAAAAATTATTTGAATAATTAATCTTTTAAACAAAATTTAAACCATCCATTATTATGTTGTGATAAAACTAGATAATGCAAAATACTTGATTATGAAGAATTTTGGGGAGTTCTCAGTTTCTAGATAATCAGAAAATGCTCTCTTTTGATTATTTTGTTGAAAAGCTAAAATACCTTAAAACTATTTACTAGAAACAAATTTGTTATTTATGGTAAATTATATAAAATATTTAAATTTATGAAATTTATTAGGAAAATTGATCTATTAAATAAAACTAGTTAAGTAAATTATATTTAAATGATTGATAAATAATTATTTATTACTGAAATACCTTATTTGAAAAATCAAATATATTCAAATGCAGTTTTCCTATTGGTAACTCAATAAAAAAGAACATTTTGTATTTTCTATAGAAGAATTCAGTATTTTTGGTCATTTATTTCTTCTTCCTTTTTCTTTCTTTCTTTCTTTTTTTTTTTTTTGTGGTGTTGGGGATCGGACCCAAGGCCTTGTGCATGCAAGGCAAGCACTCTACCAGCTGAGCTTTATCTCTTGTCTGTCTTGTTATTTCTTCTTACCTATCATCTGAATATTGGAATTATAGGCATAGAAAATGTAATTGATTGGGTTAAATTTATAGCTTAGAAGACTGAGAGTTTAGTTTTTGTTTTGTTATGATAAAGGAAGGATACCTAAATCTTGAAGTGAATTTGACTTTGATATTCATTTATTCCTTTATACTTTCATTAATTCATTGACTATTACTGAGCACTGTGTGTCAGACACTGTGCTCAGCACTGAGAATAGAAGCAGCAGAGTGCCTGCCCTCTAGGAAATGACAATCTAATGATGTGTACATAGGAATAATCTTGGAGTGTGAAGAAAGCAGTAATCTCTTTTTTTTTTCGAGTTTGGAGTGTGACATGAGAGTAAGACAAATAGATGTCAAAATTTTGGATTGATTTATCGGTTCTTTGACTCAGTTAATAAGTATTCATTTATGTCTACTCTCAGCCAAGGAGCTGATTTTGTGTCTGTAGAAGCAAACCAAACAAACAAAATGTCTGTTTTCATGCAGCTTARTGAGGGAAGCCAATAACAACTAAGTTAAATAAACAAAATATGTAGTATGTTATACATTAATAATTGCTAAAGAGATGTAAAAATGAGKGATGAGGAGTAGGAAGTATGTAGGGGCTGAAAGTGACACTCTAGTGCTTGGTAGGATTGCTAAGGAAGGCCTCCCTAAAAAGATGAAAGACCTGAAGGAGGGTATGAGCTTTGTGATTATCAGAGGGAGTACCTTAGAAGGGCCTGAGGCAGTAACAAGTCTTAATAGGAAGGCAGTAGCTGGACTGGTCAGATTCTAGTTGTATTTTAAAAGTAAAGCTGACCGATTTACTGATGGGTCAATGTAGAATATTGAGAGAAGAGTCAAGGATGATTCCAGGGAAGGATGGAGGTCAAGCAAGATGAAAACTGAGAATCCCATTGGATTTGGCAGCATGGAGGACTTTAATAACCTTGATGATGAGAGCAATTTAAATGGAGARGGTGGGATGACAACTTGGTTGGAGAAAGTTCAAGAGAGAATGGGAAGAGAGAAGTTGATAAAGTAAATACAGATGGCTTTGAGATTTTATCRTAAAGGTTAGGAAAGAAATGGGATAGTAAATCTAGCATGCACAATTTGGCACAGGTCAGCAATCAAGTAGGTGTTCTTATACTGTACCTTTTTCTTATACTGAATTTCCATCTTTGTCTATAGCTGGGAACTTGATCTAGGGAGTATTTTTGAGACTTAAGAGAAGGCATAAACATGTTTCTAGTTTAGGACAAAGAGACAGGTAAGGATGAGTTATTAAGGATGCTGGAAAAAAAAGTGAGGAAATAGATAATAATAATAATAAACTATAATATCACTCATACARTGGAGGGATGAGTTTGAATTTATCCTGAAGCTTGAGGAAATAAGGTAAATATGGAGTGACATATACATATGCATAAATAATTGTATAGATAAAAGATTGAAAAATCAAGATAGATCATTCCTGAAAAGTCTTGTATTTCAAGATAAAGTTGGATAGCAATAGCTGACTGTCTGGCAAGCTTCAACTGAGAATGTGGAGAACATATTGAAGCTTTTAAATAGTTATTGAGGAGGCGCTGGGCACGGTTCCTCACACCTGTAATCCCAGCGGCTYCTGAGGCGAGATAAGAGGATTGTGAGTTCAAATCCAGCCTCAACAAAAGCAAGGTGCTAAGCAATTCAATGAGACCCTGTCTCTAAATAAAACACAAAATAGGGCTGGGGATGTGGCTTAGTGGTCGAGTGCCCCTGAGTTCAATCCCCAGTACCAAAAAAAAAAAAAAAAAGTTATTGAGGAGAATGTTTGACGGTAGGACCTTATTTAAATGAAAGGGTTGAAAAGATGCTTATGAGTATATTGTAGAGATTGGAATCTAGACATTTATAATGACCTAAACCTGGAAAAATGGAAGTTTGTGCCTTTATTCTGACAGTGCTTAGAAGTTTAGAATTAGAAAAAGCAAGTTGCAACATTGATATAGATTAGGCTCTTTTGGGGTGATTGATTTGGAAATTTTGAGGTGAAAGGAAATGGGGAATGTTAGAATAAAGTTATTTCATATCCTTCTATGGGGTTTAGGAAGAGAAGTTTGGCATAGTGTGAGTAATTGAGGAGAAGATGAGGTCTCTGACATTGAAGATGAGAATGAGGTCATGAAATTGGAAGATAGGAAGTTGTGGTTACAGGGTAAGATAGTTGGAATTTTTTAGCTGGAATAATTTCAGTTTATTACAAGATCCTGTATAAGTAATTGCAATGTAAAATGAGTTAAGGTCCAGGAATTAAGATGATATGCATGTTGAGGCTATGCTCTTAATTCTCTATGTATTTTGTATTTCCCAGGAAATTGGCAGAAATTGGGATTGAGAGAAAAACTAAATCAGGTCTCAAGTCTTCAGTGAATGAGGTAGGGATTTATAGATGATAGCAGCAAAGAGTAGAAGGTAGATAAGTGAGAATGGCATACTTTCTAAAAGCATCACATAGCTTTTACCCGAGGCAGCGAGTAATAGCAGTGAAACACCAGGGGAAGGTTGGCCTCCTCTACGTGCCCATTGGAGTAAGTCTCCCTGACTAGAGAAGATGAAGGGAATTGGAATCTGTAAAAGGAGAACCAAATTTCAATTAAGATGTGAAAACAGAGAGACTGTTCTGGAAGAAAGCTCTTTCCTGGAACTGCGGWTCCAGAAGATTAGTAGAATGTGGAGAGAGGGCTAATTGGTGGCAGGAACAAAAGCTGAGAGCAAAGAGGTTGGACACGAGTGAATCTTAGAGGGATGAGAAGATGTTTGAAAGTGATTCACCTTCAAATATTTTAATACTGACACAAATCATTGAGGGGACCAGGGGGCTGGGGACTGCCTCAGCAAGACAGTGTTCACAGGGGATAGATAGTGCCTTGTTCTGGGTAGAGGTTCTCTGACTCTCATAAAAGGATTGAGGCAGAGGCAAAGGCTATGGTGTCAGATAGCTTGAGAAAGTGGGTATTATTCTGGATGTGGGCTATTGAATTGTGCTCTGGGAAACATTAAGATTCTTGTTAAAAGTAAAAGAAGAGGTATCTCTTAAGTTATCAAAAGAAGAGTCCTATTGAGGTATTGAAATAAGCCTGTACCTGTGGGTTAGAGTGTAATAATTTTTAAAAATTAGCTCAACAAATGTTTTTGAATCCTTGTGTTAGATATCTTGGATGTACACCAGTGAATAAAGCAGGAAAGAAAAGTACTCATCCTTGTGCAGTATATATTCTAATGCTGGAGATGGAGGGAGGCAGATAAACATGAAAAACACATCAATTATTTAGTGTATTAAAGATAAGTCCAATGAAAAGAGAAAAATAGCCAGACTACAAAGTATTTGGAAAGGCTACAATTTTAAATATAGTGGTCARGGTAGGTCTGATTAAGAAGTGACAATTGAGCAAACACATGAAGGAGAGGGAGCGTTTCTGTGAGGGAAGCATTTCAGACAGAAGGACTGTTAGTGCAAGGCTCTGAGGTGGCAATGTGCCTGGTGTAATCAAGAATAATGAATCCCATGTGTCTGAAATGGGTCAGACAGTAATAAGAGGTGATGTTAGAGAGTTATGAAAAAAATGTAGTTAGTTAAAGATTTCTTTTTGATTAATTCTAGTTTATTATCAATAATATAGATTTATATTATTAACTATTTTTAATTAAATTTGTCATATTAAAATATAATAAGTACTTTAAAATATAAGACTTAAAAGTTTGAGTGATAAAATTTCTTATCAGTCATTCTTTGTTTAAGGAATAACTTCTTGAATTCTTTATCCTTAAAATGTTAGTTTTTCAATTCTTTACAGAATGATTTGGAACAAGTCCTACGTCAAATTGGTGATAAGGACCAAAAGATACAGAACCTTGAAGCCTTATTGCAGAAGAGTAAAGAAAATATTTCATTACTAGAAAAGGAAAGAGAAGATCTTTATGCAAAAATTCAGGCTGGGGAAGGAGAGACTGCTGTTCTTCACCAGTTGCAAGAAAAAAACCATATGTTACAGGAGCAAGTAAGCTTGTAAAATGTATTTTATTTCTAAGATTTACTTTTATCTCTCTAAATCTCATTAAATGTTTTGTTTGAATGACTCATTATCCTGGCTTTTTTTTCTACATTTAAAATCCTGTGTATTTTTGACATAGAGCATTTTATTTATCCCAGAGGTTGGTTATGTTACTGCTGTAGTAAAGTTAGTTAACATGATGTGACATAGGAAATCCTCAGTTAATGTTCTAGGATGTAACTTTCTAAACTGTAAACTATAGTAAATTATTTCACCTCATTAGCTTATTGGAAAAGTGGTGATGTTATTAATAGTGCATACTTGCCTTATAGCATTTTGTGTTATTTTAAAAAAGGAATGAATAACAAATGTATTCCTAAGTTATAGGTACTAATCAAATACTAGTTGTTAGTGTGTATTAGTCAATATTCAGATTTAACATTTATTTATATTTTGATAATATATATCTTTGGACAATATATAGCTAATAATTTTTATAACTTGCCCTATTGTCACAAAATTCATATGTAGTTGAAGAAAAACATARAATTTAAATAGTAACATTTTAAAACTGAAAATAATTGACAGTTGCTTTTTTGGAAGAATTATYTAGGAAGATAATTATTATTATCTAAATAAGAAAATATTAGCAAAGTGTCAGTAGGTTATATCACTTTTCTAGTTTTTAGAAAAGTTTTGGAATTAGAATATATATAGATTTCCCCCCAAATTTCTAAATTAGTTTTGAAGAATTCAAATTTTTTKGGGTTAGTTTTTATGAAAAATTGTCTAGCCTATTTTTTAGTTATCTGCAATTTGACATTGCTCATCCTACAAATATGATCAGGAAAGTCATGCATTTTTTTAAAAGAATAAATTGACATACTTCTAGGGAAGCAACTGATGCATAGTTAGCCCCTCTGCCACCTAGAAAAGTGAAAAAACATGTATAAAGTCATTGCTTTCAGTGATCCCTGAGAGAAGAGAAACCATGGAGGTGAAATCTTTGACCACTCTACCGTTTGACCCGGAGACATTTTTCAGACTATGGTGAAGGTTGGGAGAATCTAAAGAAAACAGTGAGTTCACTGAGCTGGGGAGTGAAAGGTTGGTTTAAACCGAGAGACTGAAGTTCAGGGAGGTTAAGGCAGCTGGAAGGTTCAATTTGCAGAGAAAAAAAACAGGGAAGGAGGAGCAATGCAGAGAAAAAGCTCCAGAAACCTGTAAGGATCCACTGGAGGATTTGGTGGAATGCTAAGTTTTATATTAGAAGGTGAGATTCTGCAAGGCCGGACAATGAGCAATATCAGGGAACTGCAGACTGGAAAATTACCAGAGCCCACACAGGACTGGGAGATATTCAAGTGCCAGCAATCATAGAAGAAAGACATAGTTGAACAGTGGGGCATTCAGTAGAAATCCACACCAGAAATGTTACACCTTAGGAGAGAGTAAGGCTAAAGTAGCCCTAGAGTAAATGCTTCTGTACACCTGACCTAACAAAATGTAAACCCCAGCCTTGAAAGGGCCCAAATGAACCACAGATGTATTAACTATTTACTGGAACAAAGCTCACGATTCTATAAAAGAATGCAACAAAATCCAGATTGGTCATGATAAAATAACAAAAAAATTACTAGAAATATGAATAAACAGAAAAAAATGTGAGTCATAACCAGGAGAAAAATCATCTAATGGAAACAGACTCTGAAATGAAAGGTGATGGACTCATCAGATAAGTACTTAAAAACACATCTTAAAATATGCTAATGGGAGGCTGGGGTTGTAGCTCTGTTGTATAGCACTTGCGTAGCATGTGTGAGGCACTGGGTTTGATCCTCAGCACCACATTAAAAATAAATAAATAAATAAATAAATAAATAAATAAATAAATAAATAAATAAATGTATTGTGTCCATCTACAACTAAAATAATTGGTAATAATTTAAAAAAAGAATATGCTTATGGGTATAAAGGAAAAACTATAATAACAGAGACAGAAGTGGAAACATTCAAGAACAACAAAATGGAATTTCTAGAGATAAAAATCTTAAAATACATGAAATAAAAATGTCATTGGATAGATTAAGCAAATAGAAAATAATGTCAGTGAACTTGAAGATAAGGCAATTGAAACTGTGCAAAATGAAGCAGAGAAAGAAAGAAAAAAAGACTAGGAGGAATTGCAGGTGAGAAGAGTGCCTTAATCTATGGGATAGTATCAAGTAAGCTACCATAATATAATGAGAGTCACAGATGGGGCTGGGGAGAAATATATTTATAGAAATAATAGCCAAAAAATTTAAAATTTGAAAGTATAAATTCAAAAAATTCAAAAACTCCATAAACTCCAAACAAGGTACATAAAAAATTTCATCTAAATTTAAAAAGTTTGTTCTTCAAAATATACCATTTTGAAAATAAAAGCCAAGATTCCAACTGGGAGAAAATAACAATTTACAAATAGCCAGCATATATAAAGAAGTCTTGTTACTTGGTTAGAACATTGATTGTCCAAGGCTAGCGATGGGAGTTGGGAATGATTACAAAGGGGCATGAGGAATATTTTGGGATAATATGTTTTCTATGTTGATTATAGTGATGGTTAAYGAAGGGTATACATTTATCAGATCTCAAATTAACAATTTAAATTAGATGAATTTTATTGCATGTAAATTATAGCTTCATAGAGAATATTAAAAATATGTGTGTTTGATGTTATTTCTTATGATTTGAGATCATGTTCATGTATCTTTGGAAAGATGTGAATAGTTTTACTTTAAAAACTTTGAGATAACATCATACAGATTTAATATTCTCATGGTGCTTAAATCTGGGCTTCTTTGGTTTTGTTATATCATTTATGAACTTTTATATAATAGGTAACTCAACTGACAGAGAAGCTAAAGAATCAGTCGGAAAGTCATAAACAAGCCCAGGAGAATTTACATGACCAGGTACAAGAGCAGAAGGCACATCTTAGAGCTGCACAAGACCGTGTCCTCTCTCTAGAAACCAGTGTCAATGAATTAAATAGCCAATTAAATGAAAGCAAGGAGAAGGTCTCCCAGCTTGACATACAGGTAGTATGGAATCATGCTTTTTAATATAAAGTATGCTTTATAAATTATGCTTTTTAAAATRTAAGTATGAATAGAGCACCAATTTTAGGCTGTCAAATATTTTGAATTCTTACTCTCCTTTTGCCTCACACATTAATAGAAAAATATTTGGAATAGAAATTAGATTTAAAAACGAGATAATTTATTGAACTTTTCTGTTTGGGCAGATTTTCTCTTTCTTCTTGTCTCCTCCTTGTTGCTCCTCTGCCACTTTAAGCAAACTACATCTCCTGAAATTACTGAATCTTAGCTTTTTGTTTTGTTTTGATAAAGTCTTATTTTCTTTTTAATTTCAAATTAATTTGCTATTATGCCAGAAGATCTCTGTTACATGTATTTTTTATTTTCATTTAAAAGATCTTTAAAGATTTGATTTTTAAAAAAGAACACCAATGTGTATTRCTTTTAGTATTTTAATTCTATTCTTTCACAAGTTTTGCTTGATGAGTAAATCATGGTATAGGAAATAAGACAAATTTCTTYCTCCATTCTAATAATTGGATATAAAGGACCATGTAATTTCCCACCAAAGTATTTATGAAATAATGTCAACCAGTAAAACTATTAGTTAATCTCCCCTAATTCTTCTTTGTGTGTCCCATAATTTTGGAAAATATGTCACATTAGTTGAAGCATACTGTATTAAAAGATCATGGGCAATTATTGTGCACTAAAGTATTTTATGAATTTTTGGTTCTTCAGGTAGAATGCCATGTGTAAATGAAGCTGACTTCTGAAAAAATAAGTTCTTTATAGTCACTGATAATGCATTTATCATATTTGCTTCCTCTTGTTTAAAGTGTAAATTTCTTTAGTTTTCACTTTTAATTCAATGTAGATATATATCTATATATAACCATTGTTTCTGAGAAAACAGAGTATTTAGTTATTAAAAAAGAATCTTAAAATTTTTTCCTGTTAGCTTAAAATTATTCCTACAGTATATTTTAGATTTCTTATGTTTATTGCTCCTCTCCTCAACCAGCTAAAAGAATGTCTTCCTGTGTTTTACCCTTTCTCAAAGTGTTTTAGTTCTAAATATGTGTTTACATTTTGTTTGCTTTTTGCTTGATTTTATTAAAGCTTATTATTTAAAACCTTGAGTTTTAATATGTAATTTCTTGATATTCTTATGAGGATTAAAAGTAAAACCCTTTAGGTGGGAAATTATTGGGTAATAGTGAATTTCAAATGTAGTCGTGGTTTGTCTAGGTGTTTTGTGTCCTTRGATTCTGGAAAAGTTTTCTTTGAAGCCATCATTTTTTTTTTTTTTCAAAGCCTAGTTATTTAGTTTGTTGTTAACAGTGGTAGACTTTGGAGATTCACRTTCACTTTGGCATGTCCTTTCTCAGGAAAAAAGTATACCATTTCTTTTTTAACAAAAGGGTACATTAGTGTTTTGTTGTCATATAGGAACATTTTTTTCGTTGTTTCTTCAAACATTATTAAGAGTTTTTCCCCGTACCATTCCTATTTTTTGGATTTTCACAGACATATCTTTTAATATCTAAATCCTTATTTTTCTTTTTAACAAAAAAGGACTTAATTTTTAAATAGTTTAGTGACAAAACCAATGTGCATTCAAGCAAGGTAAAATCATCAACTAAATATGGAATAAAGTAATGTGTAAATTTTGTTACAGATTAAAGCCAAAACTGAATTATTGCTATCAGCAGAAGCAGCAAAAACTGCTCAAAGAGCCGATCTTCAGAATCATTTGGACACAGCTCAGAATGCATTACAAGATAAACAGCAGGTGGGGAAACTGATGCAATTTCATATTATAACCTAGTGCTTTGGTAGATAAATTTATTGAACCCATTTATAAAATGATATGTAGTTTTATAAAGTCTTGTGATATAATTGTTTATCCTCTTTACTGCATCTTGGAGTTCAGATCCATTTGAGAGTAAATGCAAGAGACAGATAGATGGAGACAAATATACCAGCTTTGCTTTTGATAAATCTCAACTGGTGCACAGGTGCGGTTGGGCTTCCTAATATTGTGTTATGTTTCTTCACTGGCGGAGTCCTTGGTGAGGAACTGAAACATTTACTCCTAATTATTGAATTGTTGCCTCCACCCATCAAGCACCAATGGTTAGAACTCCACACTTATTTTTAGTAATTAGGCAAGGCCATGACCTAGATGTTCTTAACTCTGGGATATAGGAAAAGAGGGCTATGTATTCCATCTCAGTTATGAGGAAGGACTGAGGGGCTGGATAGAATGTAGAAGTTACTTTTCTCAATACTTTTGGTATAATAGAAATTTCTATTTTAGGTCAAGATTAAGAGCTAGTAGATATTCTTAATGTTTTATTACGTATAACTTTTTAGAATTTACTTGATACTCAAGAAGTGATACTGGTTCTAGCTACTTTTTTGTTTTGATTTGAAGTATAACAAATTTGAAAAGCAAAACAAGACAGTTTTCTTTATTTGTCCTTTACTCCAATTCTTTTATTTTTCTTTTGAGATGGAATGTTTGCTATTAAATTTGGTATGTGTCCTTTCAGGCTTCTATAAGCATTAAAAAATATATGTATATTTAATTATTATATATGTGTGCACATAGGAATTTTTTTTAAAAAACAAGAATCAGAGAATATATGTTGTTCTGCAACTTGCTTTTTACTTACAGTATTACTCCAYACATCTGGAAAATATTTTCTAAACATGTGATTAGGATCAGAAAGTAAAATGGCAAAAATATAAGAATGACCACATAAAACTGTAAAATTTATTGTGAAATATTATTACCCAAATTCTAAGCAAATAGCAAAAAGACAAAACATTTTATGGAATATGCCTGATGAAGGGATAATAACCTAATTGTTTAAAACACTGTTTACATGGGAAATAAGTGAGCCTACAAGAAAATACAGGCTTAGTATTGTTAATACAAAAATCTGAAGTCCCAAGTGTTGTAAAATCCAAAATTTATTGAGTTCTGACTTAATAGAGTTTGAAATATTTAGAATTTTGGATTTCTGATAACCTGTAAAGGTCTTTGCAGATACTCCAAAATAAAAATCTGAAATATCAAACACTGATGGTTCCAAGCATTTCATTTTTTAAAAAATATTTTTTTAGTTGTAGTTGGACACAATATATTTATTTTTATTTGGTGCCGAGGATCTAACCCAGTGTCTCACACGTGCGAGGTGGGCTCTCTACTGCAGAGCTACAGCCCCAGCCCGGTTCCAAGCATTTCAATTAAGGCCTTCTCAAATTGTGTATTTCTTCAAAACTGTATTAGGAAATATTCAAGTTTATTAAGAATCAGTTACAAATTGAAACAATAATGGAGTACAGTTACCTGTGTAAAGGAAAAGTATGTATTACTAGTGGAAGGATCAGAGATGGTGTGAAGAACAAGTCACTTTAGTACACTGCTGCTGATAGAACACATTAGTTCAACCTTTTAGAACGAGGAAGGGAGAGGGAGTTATTTGGCAATATATTTCAAGTGATCTATTCTTTAGATCACTTTTTTCATTCTAAGGGAATAATCATAGGTTTAAAGATTCTATTTGCATCTCTGTTAATATGGAGAAAATTTAGTAGCAATCCTAGAATTTAATGCAGGAGACTTAGCTAAGCAATAAACTATCAATAAAATGGAAATTCATGCAGTTGGGTACAATATTTTAGAAAATAATATCAGAAAGTTTTATGATGCATTGTTTTGTAAAGACACTTGAGACTGAAATAATGTAAAGTGAGATCCTATTTTTATTTTAAAAATACATAAAGATATATAAATTATCATGTAGAAAAGACTGAAAAGAAAGTTATGAAACATTAACAGTGATTACCCCTGGGTAGTAGATTTATTAGTAATTTTTATTTTGTTCTCTCTGTGCAATTGGGTGTTTCAAATGAATTGAAGCAACACACTAGATGTAATCACTGTAATATTTTCAAAATATTATATTTTAAAATAGCATTTGGAATATTTTAAAACATTTATTTGTAATATAAAACTGATTTTTATTACTAGCCTCTTTAATATTATGATGTTTTAGCTCCTAAGATCACTTTCTACAAAAATATCAGAAGGTTATTTCACAGGGCTGGCTGTGTACTCAGTGGTAGAATGCTTGCCTARCATGGAAAAGTCCTATTTTGGATCCCCAGAACCACAATCAAACAACAAAAAGTTATTTAACTGTTATATATATAAAGTATCTCGCTCTATGCACATTCCATTCAGGTCCTTTATATTGGTGGATCAAGATAGCTTCTGTTAAATTGTTATCTGGAGTCTGACTCCAGATTTTTCTTCAATAAAATTAGTTTTCAATTTTGATTTGACTGAATATCTGGGCACTACAATGTAGTAAATCTTACCAAAGTTTTCATCAATTGTGCTTCTCTGTAGGAGTTGAATAAGATCACCTCTCAGTTGGATCAGGCCACTATAAAGTTACAGGATAAGCAAGAACACTGCATTCAGCTGGAAAGTCATCTTAAAGAATATAAAGAGAAACATCTCTCTTTAGAACAAAAAATTGAAGAGCTAGAAGGCCAAATTAAGGTATGTATAAAAGAAGTTGAATTTAGTCGTATTTTCTACTCAGTGGTGTTGGAATCTTATGACCTACATGGAATCAAAGATTTTTATTTAAGAAAGAAAGGTGAAGTTGTGTTATATAATTTCAAAAAATTATAATTTTTCATGTTTTAATTTTGAATTCCATCTTTACTTTTATTTTTGTGTGTTTTGGCATGTATTTTTATTAGTATATTATAGTTATACATAATAATGRGATTCATTTTGACATTCATAAATTCATTTCCATCTTTATTTTTAATTCCTTTATTAGTGGGTGGCTTTTATAAGTGACAATTAATATAMATACTGATTTCCTTATAACTTATTAACTGTTTCTGAGAAATAACCAACAGGGATAATACAGGGATCTACTGTATAATTATAAGGAATTTATCAAATTTTGTTGTTGTAAAGTTTCTTTTATACCTTCATTTTTCCATTTTCCTTTCCTACTCTAATATAATATTTCAGATATGGTAGACTTTTTTTCTTTTTAAAYTTTGCATTTGTAAACTTTGGATTTTTGCTTCTAATCTAATAATACATGTAAGCCATGCTAAAMTGAATCTTTAACACAATACCAAGTGAAGGTGTTGATTTACTAAGAGATGAAGTCATTGGACATATCAAAGAAGGATTTGATCTGAGTCTTTTGTCCTTTAAACTWGACTATTATCAGTTAAACAAAAATTTCTCAAGTTACACTCTATATGGGCATGTGTATGTATGTGTGTATGTATATATCTGGTGTGTGTGTACTCATATATATTACTTCTACTTCCATAATCAGGGGAGTTGTGTATGTGATTATAGAATCACAAGATATGGATATGTATATATGCAAGGAAATGATATTTATAATTCTGTTTGTGGGTTCTTTTGTTCCTTTTTCTTTTCTTTATGACCAATGATAGTAGTAATAGCACATCACTTTAGTTATGGTTGAAAAGAATGGAAATACAATTTTATTGAAAAGTATCTAATAATTCTATTTGGGTACCTTTTAAAAAATAGTTGTTATTTAGAACTGAGAGTGTCTGTTGTGATCATCAGCTCTTTGACATTTTGTTATTAGTTTAGGAGGTATTCTGTATGTTTCACATAAACATTGCTGTAGAATTAATTTATGACATTGAAGATCTTTTGTGAATATTTTAATACAGGCGTTAAGAGCCATAGGTACCAATCAGTTTATAAAATATTTAAGTTKGCAAAATTATTATGACTATGTAAGAAATGTAGTACTTATAGATATCCAAACTTGTGTTTAGTGTTTTATTTTGTAAATTTGTAAAAATACATATGTAGTTATATGTGTATGATGAAATGCATACTACATTCTGAAGAACAATAATATCTAAGTCAAGAGATAATAAAGCAAAATCATGAACTAAATTGGCTTTATATTTTGGGTCAGTGGGTGTTAATGAGGAGGACTATATGACAACTCCATTTTAATTTTAAATATTATATAATTATTTCAGTGTTTTAAACTGTGACTATTAAGATAATGTATTTTAAGTAGGTACATCAGTGACCTTGAATTGAATTTTTTTCAATTTACATTAATCACTTTTACTCTAGTAATAAATGTTTAAGTTTGTTCTCTTCTTCAGAATTTCTTTTAAAAGTAAACACTTAGTAACTGCTTATTATGTATAAAGTATACACTAGATCCTAAAAAAGATTATAAAATAAATAAACTCCTTACTCAGTAATGGTTTCAGAATGTTTATTGTAATATTTTTGTGTGTTATGTCAATACCAATTTGAATATAAGCAAAATATTACAGTAATAGTAGATTGATAATGTTCAACATTAAAGTGACTGCTATATTTCTTCCTCTTCCATAGAAACTAGAAGCTGATACTCTTGATGTTAAAGCAAGCAAGGAGCAAGCTTTGCATGATCTTCAACAGCAAAGGCAGCTGAACACAGATTTGGAGCTTAGAATTACAGAATTGAGTAAACAACTTGAAGCAGAGAAAGAAATGTAAGTTAAACCCCCTATTTATAAATTAAGGGAGAGGAGAGGATTATAWATTAAATATTAAAATTTCCTTAAGATTTCAATTTTGCTGGGGCTGGGGATATATTTGATAGAGCGCTTGCTTTGCATGCATAATGCCCTGGGTTCAATCCCCAGAACCATAAGTTGATGTTAATGTGAAAGAAAAATTAAACCATCATAATGTGGTTAAAGTTAATGTCACTAAAAAAAGGGCTAAAAACTTAATTTTATAAAATTTGTGCCAGATAGTCTCTTTTCAATGATAATATGATACCTATTTTTATTGAGCAATTGTTTGAGTTCTTGTCAGTTTGAATATATTAATATCAAAGTGTAAAATATAGGGATATTTATGTGCACCACCCAAGAGCAGTCAGGCTTCTGCTTTGAAGTACTGTGCCAAGTTAAGGAATGGATCATTTCTTATAATAAATGATTTTCTTTTAGCTTTGTGATGCATTTTGGCAGATTGTCTATGTTATTGAGCATAAGGGAAAGACCAGAATCAGTCCACATTCTTTTAAATTTTATTATTGAGGTAAAATGTACACACTTAAACACACAGAATTTTACATATACAATTTGAGTTTTAATAAATGTATGCTCTGTGTAACTGTGCTTCCTCCAATCCACCCCAATATGAAACATTTTTATCACTTCTGAAGTTTCTTCATATATCCTCTGATACTGCCTGTGGTTACCAGTTACCTTGAGTCCTGCTTCCTCAAATGTTGAAGTATAATACCAGAGAAGCCCTCCCAGGCAAGAGTAGAGGAGAAAGTAAGAAGCTTTATTGAAGGATAGTAAAACAGACTTCTCCTGGGTKGAAGAAGGAGATCCAAAGGCAGAATCCATGGGATGAGGCAGTCCTGTCCCTTTTATATGTCTAAAGTTTCCCTAGTTCTCCTGCATTCCTCTCCTGTGTCTTGTTCATTTCCCCTCATCCTGTATAATGACTGGGGGGATATGGCCAAGGGTTGAGCATGTGGGCTGGAAAGCTCTAAGTGGAGTGCCAGGCAGAAGGGGAGCGGCAGCCCAGGGGACATTGATTAGCAGCTCCTTGTCTGCTCAGGAGTTGCTTAATTAACRACTTTTTGGGGAGGGGTAGTATCAAAGGGTTTTGGAGATGTGAACATTCCATTCTCCCAGGGGCTGTTTCCAATTTCCTGGACTCAAATGGGCTCCATTTTCTCTATCAGATTTACCTAGCTACACTAACTCCCTGTCTTTAAATCTGGCTTCACTTCTAGTCAATACCTTACATTTTCTCTGTAGAAAATCACAGTTCTATTTTAGTCTCTATAGATTAATTTTGTTTTTGAATTTCATATAAGTACGATCATATAGTATATTCTTTTTGTGACTGGCTCTTTTTTACTTAGTGTTCTGCTTTTTAAAATTCACCCATGTAGTCGAATGAATTCATTCTTTTTATTTGTTACTATTATTCCACTACATCTACTATAATTTGTTTATTTTCTTGGTAATAGGTATTTTGGAATTGTTTCTAGTTTTTAGCTATTATGAAGAAAGATGCTATAAATATTCTCATAAAAGTAATTTTTGTGAAACTGCTGGGTCATGGTAGGGAAAGTGTGTTTAAAAAGTATATAAAATTGCCAAAAGTTTTCCGAAAGTGGTTGTACCATTTTATACTCCTACTAGGAATGTTGCAGTTGCTTCATATCCTTACTGATATTTGRTATTATCAGTACTATTAATTTTGGCCATCTGCTGAGTGTGAAATGGGATCTCATTGTGGGTTTTTGTGTTGTGTGTGTGTGTGTATACCAGGGATTGAAATCAGGAATGCTTAATCACTGAGCCACATTGCCAGCCCTTTGTGTTTTATTTATTTCTTTTATAATTTTGAGACAGGGTCTTGCTAAGTGCTTTGGGCCTCACTAAGTTGCTGAAGCTAGCTTTGAACTTGCCCTCAGCCTCCCAAGCCTCTGGGATTACAGGCAYGTGTTTCTCTTATGAGGCTCTTAATAGCCTTTCAAATGTTTTAACTTGTCTGTTAAATTATTTTAGCTATTTAAATTTTCCTATTAGGGTCTTTTTGTTATTGACTTCTTGGAGTTCTTTTTTATTATTAATATTTTTATTGAGACATAATAGCTGTACATCTTTATGAGGTGCATTATGATAATTTCACACATGCATACAATGTGTATGAACAGATCAGAGTAATAAGCACTTCCATGTCCTCAAATATTAAAACATTTCTATGTGTTGGGAACTTTCATATATTTCTGTTATTTTGAAATGTATTATAAATCATTATAACCAGTTACCCTGCTGTGCTACAGAAGACCAGAATTATTTCTTTCTGTGTTTTGGTGCCCCTTCTCCAACTTCTTTCCTTGGAGTTATTTGTATATTTGAAATGCAAATCTGTTGACAGACAGATGGGTATATAATAAAGCATTTTCTCCTAGTCATTGGCTTATCTTTAGTTCTTTTTGTTGTTGTTATTTTAAATATGGTATCTTTCAAAGAATAGAAGTATAAAATTTTGGTCAAATTCAATTTGTCATTTTTTCTTTTATTTTTTGTTTGTGTTCTAAGAAACATTTGCTCATCCCTAGAATTTATGAAAAATTSTCCTAGTTTTATTTATTTATTTTTTAGAAGTTTTATAGATTTTGTCTTTACATTTAGGTCAGGGATCTACCTTAAATTTATTTTTGTATGAAGATCTGAGGGAGGGGATCCAGGATAACTTTTTTTCCCATATATTATAAAATTGTTCAAGTACCGTTTGTTGGGAAAAAATAAAAATAAAAAAAACTTTCCACCTATTAAGTGATTTGTCATCTTTGTCAAAAGCAATTTATCTTACATTTGTGGCCTTTATTCTTTTATGCTGATCTGTTAATCTATGTGTTTCTATGTATATTGGCACCAATAGTACCATTCTATGTTGATAATCTACTTTTTTTTTTTTTTTAGTTTTATGGTAAATCTCTTATCAGTTATCTATCTGTATTCCTTCTAAAGATTGTTTTGACTCTTCTTCGTTGATTTTCCATATAAATTTTCATATTAATTCATCCATTTCTATAAATAAAGCTGTTGGGTTTTGATTGGCATTACACTGAAACTATAAGTCAATTTGGGGAGAATTGACATTTTAACAATACTGAATATTCTAATTCACAAAGATGTTATATATTTATCTACTATTTTTAATTTCTCTTGGTAGCATTTTTTTTAAAGGGATCTTGCACATCTTTTGTTAAATTTATTACTGAGGTTTATGTATTTTTCAGTATTATTTTAAATTAAATTAATTTTTAAAAAAATTAGTATCATACTTGCTTGTGGCTACTATAAAATGCATTTTTTAATACACTAAATATCTCTATCCTTTAACCTTGTTAAATTTTCTTTATAGTTTTATTCATTATTTTGTAGAATCCTTGAATTGTTTTTTGTTTTGTTTTGCTGCCGGGAATTGAACTCAGGAGCGCTTGAATACTGAGCCACATCTCCAGCCCTTTTTATATTTTAGAGATAGGGCCTAGCTAAATTGCTTAGGGCCTCACTTACTGAGGCTGGTTTTGAACTTACTATCCTCCTGCTTCTCAGCCTCATGAGCCACTGGGATTACAGGCCTGCTCTACCACACCAAGAGAGATTTTTAAAAAAAAAAAAACTAGAAAAATGTTGCTACCTCTGAATAGAGATAATTGGCCTTCTTCCTTTCTGCTTTTTTTTTTTTTTTTTAATAAAGTCTTTTTCTTGATTTACTGTTGGCTGGGACTTCCAGTACAATTTTGAATATAAATTGTAATAACAGACATTCCTGCACTGTTACAATCTTAGGAAATAGTGTTTTACCAAGTTTGAGGTTAGCTATTGGTATTCTGTACATTCCTTTTATAAACATTCCTTTTTATATCTATTTTTGCTTAAACTTTTTAAAAAATTATGCCTGTGTTCTATTAACTTTTTTTTCCTGCATCTATTCGTATGATTATATGTTTCTCCTTTATTCTCTTTAGTGAATTGATTTCCTCATATTAAACCAATCTTGTTTTTCTGGAATAAATTCCATTGACTATGCTGTATTATCCTTTCAATATATTGTTTTTTGATTGATAAAACAGTTGGTCCTCCATATCTGGTTTCACTTCTGTATATTTAACTGAGAATTGAAAATATTCAGAGAAAAAAGTTTTATCTGTGTTGAACATGTACAGACTGTTTCCACCTTGYCATTATTCTCTAAACAATATAACATAACAACTATTTACATAGTCTTTACATGATATTACCTATTTTAAGCCATCTGAAGGTAAAGTATACTGGAGGATGTGCATAGGTTATATGCAAATACTACACCACTTTACATATAAAGAACTTGAGCATCTGCAAATTTTAGTATTTTGAAAGGGGGCCTGAAACCAATTTCAATGGATARTAAARGACAACTGTACTTTGTTAAAAATTTTTCATGCATTCATGAAGCCTATTAGTTTGTAATATTTTTTTAAAATATCATTATCAGGTTTTGGTATTATAGTTATACTGATCATAAAAAGGAATTAAGAAGTATTCTTTCCTCCCCAACTTTCTGAGAGAATTATTTGAGGTGGGCRTTATTTATTTCATAAATGTTTGGTAGAATTCACTAATTAACCAGCTGGATGTGAAATTGGGGATTCAATTTATTCAATGAATAGAGGGCTATTCTGAATTTAAAATTTATTTATTTTTCTTGAGACACTTTTGGTTATTTGCATCTTTCNGTTAAAAATTTTTCATGCATTCATGAAGCCTATTAGTTTGTAATATTTTTTTAAAATATCATTATCAGGTTTTGGTATTATAGTTATACTGATCATAAAAAGGAATTAAGAAGTATTCTTTCCTCCCCAACTTTCTGAGAGAATTATTTGAGGTGGGCRTTATTTATTTCATAAATGTTTGGTAGAATTCACTAATTAACCAGCTGGATGTGAAATTGGGGATTCAATTTATTCAATGAATAGAGGGCTATTCTGAATTTAAAATTTATTTATTTTTCTTGAGACACTTTTGGTTATTTGCATCTTTCMAAGAATTTGTCCATTTCATTCAAACWTCAAATTTATTGGTATAGTAGTCTATTTTTAATGCCTGTAAGATGTATAATAATATCCATTTTTTGTTCTTAATAGTAGTAATTTCCCTTTTTTTCTTGGTCAATTTAATTAGAGATTTGTCACTTTTATCAGACTTTTATAAAAAAGTTATGTTAATGTTGATTTTGGTCACACTATGAGATCTTTACTGGATATCACTAGAATTATTAGATATAATTGATTTTATTTTTATTTATTAATTTTGTATTACATTTATTTCTTCTCTATTATGCTTTCCTTTGGCTTACTTTAGGTTAAGGCTACCCCTCCCTCATATACCTTTTTTGAGACCCAAAGGTTTATTTTGAGACACACTCAAGAGAGTGGGCTGTCTCAAGGGTAAGAAGCTTTGGGGGAAAAGCAAAGGTACACTTTCAAGGGAGAATGAGGGTCAGCTGGAGAGGAGGAGACAGCAACCTCTTGCTATGGATGTCAGTATTTATAGAGAGATAGTTGCTAAGGGCTGGACTAGAGGCGGAGTTAAACAGTTTGCACCAGTTTTGGCAGCATTCATCCATTGTCCTCATGTTACTTTTGTAGGGAAGGCATGGGTCAAGTGCTTTCCCTTTTTGTAAAAAATAGCTTTTTAATATGAAAGTTTTCCTATGGCTGTCCACATTTTGTAGTGTCTCTTTCTTCTTTTCAGCTCCTCCAACCTTTTTATTTCTCAATGTTCGATGTTAGATTTCTGCAGTTCCATGTCTTATTCTAATAAAATTAGTGTGACAGTTTTTCAACATGGAAGAAATTATCTTGAATGATGCCTTTTTTTTTTTTTATAATTTGCACTAATGTGGTCAATGGGCTTATGGCAGCAATAAGTATCAGGGGAAATTAGTTTAGATTGTATTAGGATCTATAATAATTGTTAGATGAAATTTCAGCTCTTTCTGGGGGCTGAAGTGGGTGTGTGGTTCTGGGAACATCCCATATAGCCATATAAATTTTCCCCAAATAATTAGAAATCATAAGATTATTTAGCCCAAAAAAGGCAAAACAAAAATAAAGCCTTACATAGTCACCGTAAAACTTTTTATAAAAAATAAGTAATAATCAAAGTTATAAATAAACAAATACACAATTCATAGTCAGAAATTTTAACATGCCTTACTCAAAAATTAACAGAATGGGGGGAGGAGGGACAACTATTAAGGATAGAGAATAACAACATTACCAACTACCTCATTTAATTGCTACTTATAAAACACTATACCTAACAATACATATGTCCACATAGAAAATTACCTAAGATAAGCCATACATTGGGCCTTACATAAGACTTATTTTCAAAAGTTTAAATTTTACCAAGCATATATTCTGCAACAATTGAATTAGAAATCAATAACAACAACATATCTGGAAAAGCTCCAAACAACTGCAAAAAAGTCCCAAACCTTTGGAAAGTAAGGAATATATCAAAGAAGAAATGTAGAAAATACATAAAACTTCAGAATAGCAAAAATACATTGTAAGATGAGTACTGGCATTAATTAGAGCAATTTTTTTAAAGTTTATTTAAAAAAAGAAGATGAGTGTTGGAGGAAAGGATTAAGTGCCCAAATATAGGTGAGCCCTGGGAAAGTGGAACTTGGTGGCTAAGCCCTGTGCTTTTTGGTGGGGTTTATTCAAACCCCAGAAGTGTTTACATTAAATAAGAACAGAAAGGACCCCAGAGAAGGAATATTTGCATAAAATATAAAGGTGATAAAGATCTTAGTCTTCAAGGTTTTCCTACCTTGATATGATGTGGGAGTCTATGAGTGATTTCTGAAATATGAGATTAGGACAAAAAAAGAAATGGAAATGGAAAGATTAATGGGCCTGCTGGGGCCTTGAGGAAGAACATAAGAAGCAACTCAGAGGTTATCTTAGTAGACTAATGATTGAGATGATGATGAACCACTCAGTAAGTAACATAAAGGAGCAGATATGCTCCCCAAATAACCAGGCACTATAAACTACACTTAAGGCAAAACATATCTCTATATCCTCCAACTGAAATGATCAGAACCTGATTTACTAGATATGAGAACAAAAAAGGTTCCCTACTACATCTCAATCCCATGAAAGCGTGAAACAACTTAATCATCATCGACTCTGATGGGTTTGTTTCATCTCCCTGAAAGACATTTTCCCCTGGCTCTTCATCTCCACTTTTACTATTGGAAAGATCAACAGCCCTCAAACATTTGACACTATTCAAGTCATCAACTCAGACAGACAGGCCTATTTGGAGTTTAAAGACAAATTCTACTTATATGTGACTAGTCACAAGCCCTCCCATGAAAACATTCAAACGAATGGGGCAGAACTGATTTTTATCCATCAAAATTCTGGTGAATAATATGTTCACTGAAGATCTGATGACATGACYAAACTCAACATTAATATCAAGGAAGACAAGCTGAGCAAAAGACTAATTCTACCTTGTAGTGAAGGAATGTGGACATATGTATTGTTAGGTATAGTGTTTTATAAGTAGCAATTAAATGAGGTAGTTGGTAATGTTGTTGTTCTCTATCCTTAATAGTCGTCCCTTCTCCCCCCTATTCTGTTAATTTTTGAGTAAGGCATGTTAAAATTTCTGACTATGAATTGTGTATTTGTTTATTTATAACTTTGATTATTACTTTTTATAAAAAGTTTTACGGTGACTATGTAAGGCTTTATTTTTGTTTTGCCTTTTTTGGGCTAAATAATCTTATGATTTCTAATTATTTGGGGGAAAGTTATATGGCATAGTAAATAAATATATGTAGTCCTAATTTTAGGGTTGTTTTCAGATTTTTTTTTTTTKGTGCTGTAGATCAAGCCAGCATACTACTCTGATGTACACTTAAAAAACCTGTAAATTTAATAGGACAACTGTAAATTTGCTCAATTTAAGCTTTTATTGGTGTCATATATGGGCTGATAAGACATAATGTGTTAAATGGTATAATAAGAGTTTGATGCCTTTTCTGTTTAGACCTTTAAATATCAGGGAGTTACTGTGTCCTATGAACCTGATAACTTTCACCATCTTTTCTAGGGTTGTTTTTTTTTTTTTTTAAAGAGAGTAAAAGCATATTTCTGAGACTAAAAGTTAGCAAGTTTCAAGATACAAATACAGTTCTATTATTATATTAATACCCAACTTGAAATATGTGACTAGTATGTCTTTAAACAACTTTACTTTAGCATATTACTGAATTTATGCTAGTTTTAAATCTATACTGATTACATTGGAAAGAGTATGCTTTCTAGAAATTTTTATTTTGCATCTAGTTTTGACTTTTAAAATGGTTGATTTTTAATGTGTGTGTGTKTTTTTAATGTGTAATATGCATGATTTCATGTCTTTTTAGATTATATAAAAGGCTGTAGTTTATATCTTCACTGATTCATTCTTGTAGCTTATTCATTCTGGTATATAAAGGCTATATTAGAGGACAAATGATAACAAATCACTCATGTAATCAGCCAGGTTGTATGTAGGGTTAAATAAGTCATTTGTTTTCTGTTTTTGAAATAAAATATTTCTTTTATTTTTTTCTCTGTAATAACTATTTTGTTGTTTAAGACCTGTCAAACCCATCTTATATTTTATGTTTTCAAGAAAGGAGGCAAATTTTCCTATGTGCCTAGGAACCGACGCACTGAATTAGGTGCTTTAGGCTGCATGGAAAACCTTTCTGTTTTTGTAAAACCTATAAAGTCTGCAATATGCAGTTTGTTTTGAGGATCTATTGTGGTAGACAAGACTGGATTAAGTCAGGAGGCTTAAAGGGTTTTGATTTTACTACTTAGTTATTTAACTAGGGGAAATCTTCTACATCTGCTAAATGATTTGGTCAGATGTTTTAAGGCATTTTTCAGTTGTGCAATTTTATGAAATTAAATTATTTTTATTTATGAACTATATATAAGAAAACTTAAGAGTTCAGTAATTATTTATGATTAAGTTTGAAGAGTGCAGTATGCAATATTTAAAAAAGTTTCTTAAATGTCCAGTGTATCCACTACAAAATTGGATCTACAGAAAAAATCTGAAGCCCTTGAAAATATTAAGCAAATGATTACCAAGAAGGAAGAAGAAAAAATGATCCTGAAACAAGAAATTGAAAAGTTAAATCAAGATGCAAAGATGCAGCACAAGGAATTGAATAACAGAATTCAAGCAACAGTAACAGAATTGAAAGAAGTGAAGATGGAGAAAGAAACTCTAATGACAGAGCTTTCTACAGTGAAAGAGAAATTATCAAAAGTTTCTGATTCTTTGAAAAACTCCAAAAGTGAATTTGAAAAGGAAAATCAGAAAGGAAAAGCTGCCATATTAGATTTGGTTAGTTGTTTACATTTATTTCCTTAGGTAAAAGAGATATCTTATTTTAAACGTACTTTTTTTTTTTTTTTGCTTAATTTACTGTTGATTGACTATATCTCCCATCCCATGTGATTATTTCTTAATTTATTGGTTTAACATTTTATTTTTAAAACTTTCTTGTTTCCATTTTCTTAAAACATATTGTTCTACTTTAAAAATGGAAAAACTAATTATAAGCATTGTAAAATGTGGTTTCCAAAATGTTCTAAAATATTCTCTAAATTATTTTATTGTGACTATTAGTTGCTGCTAGAAACTCTAAGCATGTTGTTTCTTTCCCTTTACTCCTATTATATTCACCTGTTTTTATCATGGGAATGGATAAGCCCGTCCCATGCTTTTAGGTTACTTTCTTATATGTATCTTACTAAGCTTATAAAACAGACTATTTAAGGTCATTACAAATATTTTCTGTGTAATATAGTTTCTCCCTTTTTAGGAAAAAACTTGCAAAGAATTAAAACATCAACTTCAAGTACAAACAGAAAGCACACTAAAGGAACAAAATGAATTGAAAAAATCACTTGAAAAGGAGAAGGAGGTAAATTTTAAAATTAATATTTGTGTTCTACATACCACTGAAAAAATTTAAGCTATTTAAAATAAGAGACCAAAATAAAGAAATGTAATTCATAAAAGTAGAAAATTGGGTCAATTAATGATAATTATAGTTAGATAATTTAGGTTAAGAAACATTATTTTGGCTAAAAAAATCTTAATAATAGACTTTCCATAGAAATGACTTTTTAAGAAGTATTTGTTTCATGAAAATTCATATTAATGATATATTGATAATGATTAGGTAATGGTCGAGATATTTCTATGGTTAATGCTTCTGTTGTTCTCTAGGTAAACACACAAGCAAATGAGTAGATAAATGGGCATAAAGTTTAGTTGTTACTCTTTGAAGAAATACCTTTTAGCACCTGGAGTCAAGTATGCAGCTTTCTAGAAAATCTGATTTGATAATTTGTGGTCCTGACGAATGTGTGATATTAGTGTATTTTGTTTTTTAATTGATAGAAGGTATTTGCTTTATAGATTGCTAGCCATGTAAATGGTGAAGTTATAGTGGTTTTGTGTCTAAACTGTGAATCAAAATTGTCCAAATTTATATCCAGGCTATGCCATTTATTAGCTATGCAAATTTTTCATGTTTGACAACTTAGAGAATGAAACTGCACTTAATAATAAAGTGGGGCCAAATATAATAAAATCTATGTCATGAAGTTATTGTTAAAAATAAATGGGTTACAGTAAATGAATGGAACTTGAGAATATTATGCTAAATGAAATAAGCCAATCCCAAAGGACCAAAGGCCAAATGTATCCTATGATATGTGGATGCTAATTCACAGTAAGTGGGGGAGGGCAGAGAATAGAGGTACTTTGAATTAAACAAAGGGGAGTGAAGGGAGGCCAGGGGCTATGGTGGTAGGAATGATAGTAGAATGAATCAGACATTATTACWTTCTGTGCATATATGATTACATGACCTATGTAACTCTACATCGTGTACAATCAGAAGAATGAGAAGTTATGCTCCATTTAAGTATGATGTGTCAAAATGCATTCTACTGTCATGTTATAACTACTTAGAGCAAATAAAAAAATTTAAAAAGAGAAATGGGTTAATATATTTGAAGTACAGAGAATGCTGATTATAACAAAGTAAGTGTTCATATATTAGTTATTGTTTTATTATTGGTTATCACTATATAATCCTTATTGTTATACTGATTTCTGTTTTGAACAAAAATATTAGGCTCTACACTGGAGATAAACTGGCGCATCTGTATATAGCACTGAAACTTTTTCAAAAGTAACTTTGAATATGGCTAAATGCCCAAAGGTAATTCCTGGTTCTTAAAAAAGTATACGTAAAACATGAAAATACAGCTGTGTCTRGAAAAGTAGAAAATAGTAATAGCTCAGCTTGACTACACAAGATCTTCAGGATGACTTCTACATAATATCTAATTTTGAACAGAAACATCCTAGTGGATTATAAAAACAAAGTAGTAGCAAAATATKCCCCAGGTCTTTAAAGAACTGTTGTACAGTTTAATTTAATATCATTAGATAGATACTGAAATAATTGTTAAAAATACATTTTAGTTTTATTAAAAAAATAGACAGAATTAAAGAAAATTAATCTTACATGCCATATAAGTGAAAAGCATCAGTTGTAAAAACAACATGAAGGCAGGGATAGTTCTCTTTTGTTAATTACTAATTATTTGTGGCCAACAGACTCAGTAGTTTCTACCTAGAGGAATGTACAACACGTAGTAAGAACTTAGTAAATGTCTTTTAATGAATAAATGAATATCAGATAYTTCATTTTCTTCTAGACTTCTCATCAATTGAAATTGGAACTCAATTCTACTAAGGGAGAAGTCATACAGGCCCAAAATACTTTAAAACAAAAGGAAAAAGAGGAGCAGCAGCTTCAGGGGAACATAAAYGAACTAAAGCAATCAACTGAACAAAAGAAAAAGCAAATTGAAGCACTTCAAGGAGAAGTTAAAATTGCTCATTCACAGAAGGTATTGATAAAAAATTTGTTTACTTTTTATAGGAAGGAAAAAGTAGGCAACTAAGATAACGTGATTAACACAGATGAGTTGCAGCACAGGAAAGTAGATATATGCTTTTTCTAAGTTATTACATTTGATTATATGAGTAAATTTTTCTAAGTTATTACATTTGATTATATGAGTAAATCTCTAAGTCTGGATTTCCATTCACCATAACCATGTTATCAGATAATTCCTCCTTTAAATTCTGGTACTAAACACTTGTCTGATAGACATGAAACTGCCTTTTTGTAAAATAACGTAACTACCAATTAATGTCAAGACAATTACATAAGTCACACGTATAAGAAAAATTTAAGGGAATTCAAAACAAATCATCTTTATTAAGAAAAAGTAATAAAGAACAAAAATCAGTAGTATGAGATTTCACATGGCATATTTGATACTTTAAATAATTTCATAATGGTTTCCATTTCCAATAAGAAATGCACAATTTATTGTTAAGCATCTCTTTTTCTTTCTTAAATATGTCTTAGTACTTAGAGCTTTCCCCTGTGTCTTATATATATGAATTGGTCTTGGAGAAGAGAGACATAGACTCCCTAGTATGGAGAATAAACTAAATGTCATGCCATTAAGAGTTGGCTGTCATACTGTTAGAGTAAAAAGAATACAAATTTAAAAACTGTGATTTTCCATTTTATTTTGATCAGTGTTTTTGTAGCTGTTATGGAACTTTACAACAGAATAATTTTCTAGTAATATAAGCAAGAGTAGACAAATTTTATTATCACAGATAATCAGAAGTCAGGGTGTAATTACCACAGTGTGCATATTTATTGCATCTTAGATATCTTAGGTCTTTTTTGTTTTTCAAAATCTTCTAGCTTCATATTCCTAAGTACTTCCTGAGAAGTTTTTTTTTCTTTTTTTGTTAGAAGTTTGTTTTTATAGCATTATAACAGTGAATTTTWAAAAAAATATAGCTATTTTAATGTTTTTGTTTTCATTAAGTTATTAGATAAAATTTCTTTCTGATTTTTGAATTAAATATATTGACTTTTATATTAGTACATGAGTGCTAGAATAAGGAATCTATTTCTTAACTTTGAGGAGGGCAGCAGCCTTTTGAACTTTTGGGGAGTGCTAGATTCATAGTCTTCATAAATTAGACTTGGAATTTAGAGTAACCAACTGGAGAATCTTTGTCAGGCTGAAACAGTTTGTGTTTGTTGAGGATCAGTATAGCATCATGGTACAATAAATTTTAGAGCTAGGTAGATCTGAATTTAAATTTAGCTTATTGAGTTTTTTGTTATGTGATTTGACTGAATGGAAATAAAGGAGCAAGCGAGGAAAGMACTGAAATACTTGCAATAATCTAGATAGTAAAAGATGATGTGAACTAAAGTGTTAGAAATGAATGATTTAGGAATACGTTTTAGAAGTTGATTTATTGAGACTTTCTGCTAGGTTAGATGATGAGAGGTAATAGAAAGGGAAATCAGGGATAACTCTATATTTGGGTCTGTGTTCATGGATAGTTGGTAGTAGCTTTAAAAATGTTTTTTTTTTTTTGTAATTGTAGATGGACAGCATGCCTTTATTTTATTTGTTTATTTATTTTTTAATGTGGTGCTGAGGATCAAACCCAGTGCCTYACACGTGCAAGGCAAGCACTCTGCCACTGAGCTACAGCCCCAGCCACAGCCACAGCCACAGCCTTTGGATATGTAGGGTTGCTGTGAGAAATCAAGTGTCCTAGTTGAGATAGATATCTATGGATCATTCAGATGGAGAGATCAGGAAGGTGCTTGTATATAAGAGCCCAGAGTTTAGATRGAGAGTTAGAGCTGGAACATAATTTTGGGAGTTACTTATAAATAAAAGGTACTTAAAGACTTGGGTCTGTTTGAGATTGTCAAAGGAGAGAGAGTACATAGAATAATAGAGAGCTAATTATAGCCGGGAAGGAAAAACTTTATTGATCATTGTGCTCCACTATAACTCACAAGGCAGGTTGCCAAGAGAAAATCGATTTTATTCAAAGCTAGTCTTGAGGAATATAGAGGAGAACTTTTTCTTCCCCAAATCTCCATCTTCAGGGACTCAGAGGCACAGAAAGCTTTTGTAAGAGGAAAGGAGGCACAGGGAAACAAAAGGCAGGAATTCTACATATATTCATATAGTTAGGCTGTGTTAATCAGAAGTATGTCACCATCTCAAGTGCCCATTAGGGCCTGGGGTGGGGGCAGCCTCTCAGCCTCCATTCTTAGTATCAGGTAGTTCAGTTTGCAAATTATAACAGTTTGGTGCTTTTAATTCCAAAGGGTTATGTTTCACAATGACCACAACTTTGGGGTTCAACAACATAGAGATCTAGCAGAAGAAAACGGATGAGTAAAAGATTTTGAGAAGGCATGACCAGTAAGGTAAAAGAACCCCAAACACAGGATACTCTGGAAACCAGGTTGAAGAAAATGCTTTTAGAAGGGGATATAATTAATTCTATCAATTAATGCTAAGAGAGAGGTCAAGTAAAATGTGGACAAGGATAAGACTATTGGATTTCGGAACATGGGGAACACTGATGACTTCAATAGCCATTTCGTTAAAGTAGTATATTTATTTTGTTGAATTTTTAATTGACACATAACAACTGTACATATTTATGGGGTACAATATGGTGATTCCATACATGAATATGATATTTAAATGATCAAATTAATATTTCTGTCTCCTTAAATATTTATCATTTCTTTATTTATCATTTCTTCAAACTCCTTTCTTCTAGTTTTTTAATAAATTGTTGCAAATTATAGTCGCCCTACTGTGCTATAGAACACTAGAACTTAGTCCGCCTGCCTGTGCAATCTCTATCCTCCCTCCTCTACCCCTGTTTATCTTTCCTAGCCTCTAGTGATCACTCAACTGTTCTCTGCTTCTATGATAAGTCGTRTATTTATTTAAGTGCTTATTTTTCATTTTATACATATATTTGTATATTTTAATTGTCATAAGTTGTGCATATCTGTGTCCTTTTTTTTTCCTAGGGATTGAATCCAGCTATACCCTTAGCTCTTTTTTAGACAGTATCTTGCTAAATTGCTCAGGTTGGCCTCAAACTTGCCATCCTCAGCCCGTCACCTCAGTGGGATTACAGGTGTGGGTCACTGTACTCAGTATCTACCAAATATTCTTTTTAAAAAATTTTTTTTTTAAAGAGAGAGAGAGAGAGAGAGAGGGAGGGAGAGAGAGAGAATTTTTTTTTTATTTTTTTAGTTTTCGGCCTACACAACATCTTTGTATGTGGTGCTGAGGATTGAACCCGGGCCGCACACATGCCAGGCGAGCGTGCTACCACTTGAGCCACATCCCCAGCCCCCCAAATATTCTTAAAGACTGAAAAGAAGTTGATTTTAGAGATGTTTTGATCTTTATGAGATTTTTTTTTCTGCTTTGATATTAATAAAGATGACCTGCAGAAATTTCCTAAGTTATTTTTGAATTTCCAAGTAGTAGAAAAAACATAACTTCAATACAACACCAATAATGGTTTCTTAATTTCTTTCATGTAGATTTCTTTTAGCTTAACCTTAAAATATATTATCTGAGGTATCCAGCACTATATCCTCCAACAGAATGTAGTTGTTACTCTTTCTTCTGAGACCTGATACTACTTCCTAGTTAAATCCATTTTTCCTTTGTTTAATTGGTTTTACATTTTATGGTTTTTAAGTTTATTTATTTACCTAACTTTTTTGTGGTGCTGGGGATCAAACCCAGGACCTCCCACATGCTACGCATGCACTGGACCACTACACTGCAGCCTGTGTCTTTTTTGATTTTTAAAAATTGGGACTTGTTGGATTTTGAGTTTAGAAGTGTACCGTAAATTACTTTTTATTGAAGTAAAATTTTAGGTCAGAAATGCASTTAGCCTATTTTTAGAAATCTTAGTTGTATGAATTTCATTTTATGAATTTAATATGCATACTGTTTCAAATAACTACTATATGTTTCAGACAGAGCTTGAGAATAAACTACAGCAGCAGTCAGCACAGGCAGCCCAGGAACTTGCAGCAGAGAAAGAGAAAATATCAGTGTTACAGAACACCTATGAAAAATGTCAAGAAAATCTAAAACAACTTCAATCTGATTTCTATGGGAAGGAATCTGAACTTCTGGCCACAAGACAAGATCTTAAGGTATAATAAACTATATTATATCTTAGAAACTCAGTTACTTGTTTATAGACAGTCATTAAATGATTCATTTGAGCACAGATGGGAAAGGGAAGGCTAATATTTGAGAAATATCATAATGGTTTTCTACTAAATTACTACATTTGGATTAGCATGCTTTAAAATTAATTTTTTTTTTTTTTTTTGCGGTGGTAGGATCCCAGAGATTGAACTCAGGGGCACTTGGCTCCTGAGCCACATCCTCAGCCCTATTTTATATTTTATTTAGAGACAGGTTCTCCCTGAGTTGTTTGCTAAGGCTGGCTTTGAACTCTCAATCCTTCTGCCTCAGCCTCCTGAACCACTGGAATTATAGGCGTGTGCCACTGTACCCGGCCATATGTGAGCATTTAAAAATGAGTTATGCAGGTGTGGTGGTGCACACCTATAATCCCGTGGTTTGGGAGGCTGAGGCAGGAGGATTGAAAGTTGAAAGCCACCCTTAGCAATTTATCGAGGCCCTAAGCAACTCAGCAAGAACCTGTTTCAAAATAAAAAAGATAAAAGGGCTGGGGATGTGGCTCAGTGACTWAGTGCTCCTGGGCTTAATTCCTGTTACTGCCCCCAAATAAATAAATAAACAAAATAAATAAATGGATTATATCTATCATAGTAGAATATTTCAGCATGTTAATGTGTACACTATTAGTGTATCTAAGTATTTTATGCTTTTCTTTGAAAATGACTTAAAAGATCTGCTGTTAGAAAATCATTTAATGAGTTTTAAATGTTAATCACTTGGGAAAAATGCCGACAATCTTGCTCTTGCTTGTCAGGCAATTCTGACTCTAGTTTTGTATATTTATCAACTTCCCTAGATTACTGAAATGCACAATGATTAAATTAGGAAGTCAGAGATCAAATGAATCCTAACCTTAATTATCTAACAATGTATAGAAATTTTATCCTTGGTAATACTATATTATTTGATAAAGTGTATGTTTATTAAAATAAAGGATATGGAAAAAAGGTAAACAATTTTTATATAATATTAAGGTATAAATTCTCTAAGGGAAATGGAATATGTGTGTTGTCTCAGAAGTTTCAGCCAGTTTTTTTCTCTCTATTTTTTCTTTTTCTTTCTTTCTTTCTCTTTCTTTCTTTTTCTTTCTTTTTTTTTTTTTTTGTTTGTTTTTTGGTAAGGTGAAATATGATGTTTTCTGTTTCTATCCTGTTTGGGATTTGTTTATTTAATTTAAAGTGTACTATTGGAAAATTCTATTGAAAAATCACAGAATGTTAAAATGTTTTAAATATATAATGTTTATATTTTATTCCAAGGCTCTTGTAGGGAAGACTTTATAAAGGAGGTAGGATTTGATTAGGTCCTGCAGGATATGTGGAATTTGAATATGCAGGATCCTAGAAAGGTCATTTTACTCARAGGCACAGTTTGAGAAAAGGTGCCACAATGGGAATTAACAGGCAGGACATATAATTGTCTTATTCAAGTGCTGGTTTATGTGTGGAATTTAGGTTTTAAAAAGTAGAATCTGAGAGCTGGGGTTATGGCTCAGCAGTAGAGTGCTCGCCTAGCATGCGTGAAGCACTAGTTCAATCCTCAGTACCACATAAAGATAAATAAAGGTATTGTGTCCATCTACAACTAAAAAAAAAAAGTAGGCTTTAAATGGTGAAGTATCTTAGATGCCTAATAAAGATGTTTGAACTTTATATTTGGTGGTGGGGCGGGGGAAGTAAAGTCTAAGCAGAGAATACATGAAGAAAAGAGACTTWGGAAACTTAACTTGGAGTGGGTTGTCATGGTAGGGAAATTAGTTAAGAGGTTATATCTCTTTCAGGAATGAATTGATTAGAATTAGGAATAAAGTTAAAGAGGAAGGAATAGAAGAGATTAACCACATAGAGATGACACAAAAGGGCTGAATGCATAGTAGGCTACAAGGAAAGTGAGAAAAGAAATGATAATTCATGATTTCACAAAGAATAAGAAATTGGGTAAAAGAATTGTCATACTGCCAATAGCATATACCTATATGTGACAGAAAGAGCAAGAGAGATCAAAAGATCAAAATAAGAAAGCCTAAGGAAAAAAAAATCACTTGACATTTAGGTGGTGTTAAATTGTTGTTCTTTTCTTCAAAACACTGTTATAATTCAGGGAAAATTTGTGAGGAATTTTGGACTTAACCCAAAGGCATTAGGAACCACTGAAGACATTGCATAGATTTGTATTTTGGGTAAATGATTGGCTGCAGAATGAGGAAGGGAGATAAATATAGAGACCAGGGAGAAGGCTTTACAGCAAGATACTTTTTGGGCTATTACTTGTTTGGGCTAGTAGTAGCAGTAAGGATGGAGAAAAGTGATTGAATTTGAAGGATATTGAAATGATAGAAGATCTGAAACTTAATGGTTGTAAAAGTCTTGTAGAAATCACTCTTTTCATATAGATAGATTATTTATCCAGAGTATAACTTAATAATGGGACTTATATCTCCTAAATCAATAGTTTTCATTATAAGCCATGATTTTTATTATGCCTGAAATATATATTTCATAATAATAATTTCATACATGAAAGAATAATTCAAATGTAAATATGAGCAAAAAGAAAACAGAGGGCCAGTCATCTAYAGCGTTTTAAACTAAGAGGCCTTGACTAGATGTCTATTCTAAAGCTTGCTTCTATAGGTAAGGGCAGGCCTAACACTGTACAATAATAGAACATAGTCACATCTGTGTTCTTATTCAAAGCTTCTATTCTTTCTTTCATCACCATTTTACTAGAATTTTTTTAACAAAATATTTATAAATCCTGTATTAATGCCTTTAAAATGAGAAGTATATGAACTACTTAGGAAATTAATGTAAAATAAAGGATAAATACCTAGGGGATTACAAATGGTACTTATAGACCAGAATGAGATCATTACCAACCATTATTTTTCTTTTTCTTCAGTGATGTTATATGATCTTGTAGATAAGAGAGAGAGAAAAGGGAAAGATTCAGAACCTTGTGTGACATGATACCCATCTAAGTTAAGGCTGCTTGACCACTGTGGGATGACAGTGTGTACTTGGACACCAGTAAGATGGAAGACAGCCTGGCCTGATTTACGCTGCTGGATCACTTATGAAACACTTAAGTTTGTTGACTGCATATTTCAAATTAGTTATGCTGTATATATTTCTTGGTTGTCCAGGAAAGGTAAAAGTGGAATTTAATTGTAAATTTTATACCTTGAGTAAAGCGGAAATTCTAGGGTAGTAAGTTTAGGATTAAATTGAAATCTTTTCAACTTAGTACTATCTCTTCTGTCATTTTATCATACGTCAACAAAAAGTAATAACTAAAATTGTAAAGGTTTTATTTTGAAAGGAGATTGGGAAATTTTGTTAAATAGATAAAAATAAATAGCCACCCCACAATACTGCAGGAACTCTCTTTTGCTGAGATACTATAATGTTAGTGGCATGATCAGTGTTACTGTTGATAGTTGATATACTCAAGGATTTCCTATTGCAGTGGGTATGGATATAGGAATGGGTTTAGACAATTCCAATAAAATCATGGAATGGGAGAAGAGGGCCTCTGAAGCTGAGCAGATAAGATAACATGGTTTACAAGAAATATAAAAAGAACATTTAAAATGCATGACAGTATGCCACAGAATAACATAAGATGAATATTCAGAGGCAGGGGATAGCAATGTGACTTAGCATCTTCAAAAGGACCTCATAGAACATTCCAAATTTGAGGTTGACTGTAAAGACTAATCACTGGTTTAAAGTTTTACAGGCCGTGAGTTTAAGATTTTATAATCCATGCCCATTTTCAAATTTTTGTGGACATTTTAGAATTTTTGTGGAATTCTCTGGAGTACTATTGCTTTCCAGACTCTGGTAAACCTTGGTATTCCTTAGTATTAGATTAGACCCCTCTATTGCCTTATTCTAGTTGCAATAGACTTAATGGACTAGCTTTGCAAATTTTATTGTCTACATGTGAAGTCCCTYTTATGCTTCATGACATATAGGTAAGTTCCCAAGTGTACTCTGGAGACTTCTGTGAACCACATTCGTCAGAGGGTCTCACACTCATTGTTTTCTGGTGCTTTTGGCACATAGCACGTGTTTCACTGCCCTGTATGATTTCCATGTTACATGCCTATTTTGTTTTTCAGGCTACTTAGTCAATTCCTGTAAATTAAGCACTGTCTTATACCTTTCTCACTTAGTGGTTAGCTGGCTGATTAGTAAAGAGCCTTGRGGGGTTTATTGTCTGACTGGCAGTCATTAAAAATTAAAATTTAATTTATATAAGAAAGAATTCGGAACTTGGTTATTGATAAGGAGTAAACTTTTTTAGGAACCTTAAGAATCCCGATAAATGAGGTCCTCATTTATTTTTATTCATGTATTGTCCTAGTATTTTTACTAATTATATATAATCCTAGTCACTAAAGATCTTTTCCTGAATTATATTGTCTGCTGCCTTTTCAAAGAAACTGTATGACCCACGTTAGAAAACTCAGTTTCTAGATCTGGTGAAAGAGCATCTTGGAGTTGGTTCTTAGCCCCTGGTGTATGACAGCAAAAGCAGCTGAGAGTAGCACTTTCCTGCCATTTCTTTTATTTAACTATCACCACATCTTCCCCCAAATGAAACCTAATTGGAGGGAGGGAGATTACCCTTTCTTCAACTTGACCTTCTCAAAGTGTTTGGGTCTTAGTAKAGTCAATGATTGTGGTCTGTTAATTGACAGTAACTATTTGTACCACATAGGCAGTTGAGAGGATGGACTGGTATTCCTCTCAGGATATAGCCTCAGATGTTTGAATTTTTCTTTTGAATCACCTGATCAGACAACTATGTCTTTTCCTAAAGACAAAAAATCTTATTTATCAAAGTTTTTAATATGTCTAAGGACCTCATATATCCTACAAAATGTATATGTGTACATAATGTAGCATTTAACTCTTTTAAAATTGTGTTATTTTGTATCTCCCCAGTCTTTTATCCCCCCCCCCTCTATACACACACACACACACACACACACACACACACACACACACACTCATACGAGGTCTTCATTTATTTTTACTTAGATTATWTATTACATTATACTTAGATTATATGTAATCTAAGTATATTTGATATGGTCCCTACTTATTTGATAGTTTTTCACATTACCTGGCCAATATTGAAGATTTGATAAGCATTCAGTATTGAAGGGTGTAACATTCTCTTTTTATAGTATAGTCAGCTGCTGCATAGTGATGTTTCAGTTAGCAACAGACCGCATATACAGAGGTGTTTAATAAGATTATAATGGAGCTGAGAAATTCCTATTGCCCGGTATTTCTACTGGAACATTTCTGTTTTCAGATGTTTAGATACACAAGTACTTTATATTGTGTTACCATATTCAGTGAAATAACATGCTTAACAGGTTTTTAGCAATTCTTAAAAGAAAGAATTGACTTTTACTAAGGGAAAGTAGAAATTTATTGTATATAAACAATGTTTGCTCTACCACGTAACAATAGGCTCTACCGCATTACCTTGGTGTGGAGTAAGCTGTACCATCTAGGTTTGTGTATGTGCACTCTGTGATGCTCACATGACAAAATTAGCTAACAAGGATGTCCAGAACATGCCCTYATGGTTAAATGATGCATGACTGTATTGTTTTCCATAATGCTTATATTAACTGTTATGTTGCTATCGAAATTTATTAAAAGATGGCATATAATAATTTGGGGAAAAATTCTTTTTACAAGTCTGTAGAAGAGAAGCTTTCTCTAGCACAGGAGGACTTGATATCAAACAGAAATCAAATTGGAAACCAAARTAAATTGATTCAAGAATTGAAGACTGCCAAAGCTGCTTTGGAACAGGATTCAGCAAAGAAAGAACAGCAATTGAAGGAGCAATGTAAAACACTCCAAGATACTCAAAAAGAAAAGGTATTTCATTTTTCTGACWTAAATGCAGAACCTTAAAGCTTCAGTGGTTTGGAGATCATCCAGTCAAATCTCTTAACCTCATGTTCAATACAGGTATCATCTTTAGTTTCAACAGCTCTTTCAGAAGGATGTCTAGAACAGGCTAAAACATGCTTGGTCATTGGAAGTTTTGTGCTAGGAAGTACTTCTTAATAACCTCCTTGCCAGTTCTACCCATTTTTTTCTCACTGCTTTGCTTAGTCTTATAAGCAACTACTTTTTACACCATAGAATCTTGGTTATTTAAGAACAGATATTATTATACTTCCTCAGCTATGTCTCATATAACATTTGTACTCTAAATGTGTCAATGAGATAATAAAAGGTCTAGGAATAAGTCTTAAGTTTGTTAAGAATTCTTAAAAGAAAGAATTGACTTTACTGAGAGCAAATAGAAATTTATTTTATATAAATAATGTGAAGTTATGAAGTTGAAAGCATTGGCTTATATAACAAATACATTATTAAAACACTTTAAACTTTATATAGAGAAATTCAGACTCCAGAAACTTTTTGTTTTTTGTTTATTATTTGAAATTATATATTCCTATTAGCTGATAGGCATTATTCTAAATAATTCCTGAAGTTCTTGGTATGTTCTAAATTGTTCAATTCTCAAAATTCTTTTTTAATTAAAAAAATTGTGGATGATTTTGTGTATATAAGGATGGTGAAGTTGGAATGGAATTCTTGATTTATACCTTAAGTTTGGGAAGTTCTGACTGAATTATATGGTGTGTGTGTGTGTGTGTGTGTGTGTGTGTGTTAGTTACTGGGGATTGAACCCAATAGTACGGCACCACTGAGCTCCATCTTCAGCCCCTTTTTTAAAATGTTATTTTGAGACAGAGTCTCAGTTGCCCAGGCTGATCTAGCAATCCTCCTGCTTCAGCCTCACAAATAGCTGGGATTATAGGTATGTACCACCACAAGAAGCTAGAACTATAGTTTTTAGGTATTGCAAACAGTGTTCATCAGATACATCTGGTTTCAGAATTAACTCCATCTATGATGGATTATTTATCTTAAACTTTTGATCTTTCACCTATAAAATGGGGATTAAAAATCTATTTATTTCAGAGATTAAATGATGCTTWATGTTCTACTAGGTACCTATGTAAAGATAGTGATACTGATAGAATAGGAGTTAGAAKAATAAGAATGGTAGTTTGGGCTACATTTTATAGAATTGCTGCTCTGGTCAGACACTGTCCATTTTACAGTATTAACTATAACCRTTTAGTCTTTATAATGATATTATTGAAGGAGGTAGGCAAGACAGGGTATATTAATTTGCTTCAATTAAGTATAAAGGGGAGTGCTAGTGTCATCAATAGTCACAGTATTTTGATTATACTAATTTTCATTTGAGTGTTTGCTTTGAAATTATGTTTTAATGAAACATTTTTCTACAGTCAATAAAAGAAAAAGAACTAGCAAATGAAAAATCTAAATTGGCAGAGATAGAGGAAATTAAGTGTAGACAAGAAAAAGAAATCACCAAGCTGAGTGAAGAACTCAAGTCCCACAAACAAGAAAGCATAAAGGTATATTAAAATAATTACTTTCCTTTCCTCTGTGTTGGATTTTTCTATAAAATTATATATGTCTTGATATATACTAGTATGTTATATTAGGAAAATTGAGAGCAAATTGCCATGTGCTAGGCAAATTATTTTGTTGTTTTTGACCAATATCTCTTGCCAGAGTGCTTTTTGCATTACATGATTCCTATATATACCTATGATAACCGTAAGAGATTAGGTTTCATTGAATGATAATTAAGAGAGATTAATTTAGCAAGTGATGCTCATGGATAATAAAAATATGTAAGAATTTGGAATTAAGATTTTAGGGAATTCTAGTTTTTTTCCAATTATTTTACTTCTTAAAATCCTTTAATAATCTCTTGTTTTTAACATTTTGTCTGTTATAAGCACAGCTATAGTGTCAGCTAAAGAAAGCATTTATCATTTGCTTTATAAAATGTTATTCATTTTCTCAGAGAAAAGTCAGATTCTCTCAAATGCTCTCTTAATACTCTTTATTTCTATCAGCACACTTGGCATTTTGCATCATAATTTGTAGTCTCATGCCCTTCTATTCTTCTGGAATTGACTTCCTTAAAGCAGGAAAGTCCTATAACTCATTACAGCCTCAGAATGTAACAATGTGTGATGACTCAATGATGACCTATAATAAATAAATGCTTATTAAGTGAGAAAAGGGAGAGGAGGGGATGGAGATCTTCTCCACATAATATAATCAAAACATGCACCTGCCACATGTCACCTGGGTTAAATGATGAGTGGGCAGGAGGCAAATTTATTCTTGCATCTTTTTAGCCAATTGTTCCAAATGTTGAACTTGAAGAATCTCATATGTGAGTAAACTCATTGTGTCTRTGGTAAATTGCATAAATTTCAGCTGCCTTGTGACATATTTATTATCAAGAATGATTTGTTATTTTGCCTTTCAACAGGAGGTATCCAATCTCAAGGATGCCAAACAACTTTTAATTCAGCAGAAATTAGAACTTCAAGGAAAAGTAGACTCATTAAAGGCAACTCTTGAACAGGAGAAGAGAAACCTGCAGATACTAACAGAGCAGGTGAAAAAGGAAGAAGATGAGCTGAAGAAAGAATTTGTTGAGAAAGAAGCTAAACTGGTCAGTGAGTTAGTGGTGGGAAGTATGTTGAACAGCACTCTAAATCAGTCCAGGGGGAAGATTTTTTTCTACCCAAGTTTCTATTTAAGTTCTAAGTTATGACTGATGTTATGCTTTCTTAAGATTTTAGTTTTCAAGAAAGGAAATCTGATTTGCTTAAATAGTTGAAATATGATTGGAAATATTTTATCTATTATCATATTTTGGTTTATATCAGTGAAAATTCAATTAAAATATAATTTAAAAAGTCATTTTTTTTGTTCCAGAAATGTTTGAAACACATAAACCCACAAACTTATAGATTGAGGTAAATGGGGTGAAAGCTACTCATGAGAAATTTGTTTTGTCAAAGTGAATGTTGATAAGGGGAAATGGAAACTTCAGTTTGGAATTAGGATGAACAAAGTCAGCTTTTCCTTCCCTAAGCTGTACATGCCAAATAGGAAGCATCTGGCTTTCCTTTATTGAATTAACTCAATATCCCTAGATAACTTGACTGCTGAATATTCTAGATGAAGAGTTGGAATTTTAAGTTCAAAGAGTGACTTGAAGGGCTTGTATTGTGGTTTTTGGCAGGTTGATAGAGACTAAAGGATACATTGAGTGACCTAAGGAAGTGCCAGCTTTATCTCTAGGGCATCATGCTGTCCCTAGCCATGTGTGTCTTCCCCTGCTCTGGTAGAAAAAAATAAGACTTTCAAGTCATGTCATTTAACCTGGACCTTATGAGAGGCCTGCTACCCATCATTTCAGGATTATAGCATTTGAACCCATTCAAATTATACAGATGTTTGCAGAATAAGTTTTATTTGTGTCTAGTGAAATATATTCTCTTACCTCCTTTCCTAAAGCAGCAATATTATTTATATTGCCAATRTTTTAAATTTAATAAATTAATTTTGTAATAGCCCCCCCCCACACACACACATTTTTTTCTTTTCTCAGCATTCTGAAATAAAAGAAAAGGAAGTAGGAATGAAGAAACATGAAGAAAATGAGGCTAAACTTACCATGCAGATTACAGCATTGAATGAGAATTTGGGCACTGTAAAGAAGGAGTGGCAGTCTAGTCAACGGAGAGTTAGTGAGCTGGAGAAACAGACTGACGACTTACGTGGTGAGATTGCAGTCTTAGAAGCCACGGTTCAGAATAATCAAGAYGAAAGGAGAGCACTGCTAGAAAGGTAACTGATGTCCACTAAAGTGRTTCATTTCCATTGTAGGTAATTAAAAGATTGTTACAGTCCACATTTTTAGAATATAAGAATTAAGAAAAGTATGTTAAGGCCTACAGATATTTAAGTAGACATTTAAAAGACTGATCCTTAGAACAATCAAATAATTGAAATGAATGTGTTTATATTTAAAATTACTAACTAGTCCATGGCCTATATTCAAGAAAGATTCTTTCGTGATTTTTAAAATTTGCCTCTGTTTTTTATTTTTTATGTGGTGCTAAGGATTGAACCCAGCGCCTCACATGTGCTAGGCAAGTGCTCCACCATTGAGCCACAGCCCTAGCTCATCATGATTTTTTTTCTTTAAATTAATTCTCTCTTTTCTATCTGTTCCAGATGTCTTAAAGGAGAAGGTGAAATAGAAAAGCTTCAGACCAAAGTCCTAGAATTGCAAAGAAAGCTGGATAATACAACTGCAGCAGTGCAGGAGCTGGGTAGAGAAAACCAGTCCCTTCAGGTAAGTTACTTGAGATGTGAGGCAGTTTCTCAGACTAGAATTGACCTTTTAGTGTAAAGCAGGGCTGGAGTGTGGCTCAATACAGGAGTGCTTACCTAGCATATGCCCTGGGTTAGATCCCAGCACTGGAAAAAAAAMCAAAACAGAACTCATGTTTAATAAATTTTTTCAAATAGCTACTGTCTGTACAGTGATATTATAGGTTTTATAGGTTGTTAAATATAAATTTGCTTACTTTATGATAAAGGACTTCTTCAGAGATCTCAGAGATTAGTTTGAGAGCCATGTCATTCATGAATTGTCAGTACAGGGAAAGAATTAACAAAATTCAAGAATACCCAAGAACGGAAAAATCAGTATGTGTTAAAAAAGTGATATAAGTATGTTCTTAGAATCYCTAGAAAGGATTGATCATTAGAGTTAGGCTAATTATCAGTGCCTCGGAGGAATAAATTTTAATTTTATTTTCATTCAGATTTTTTTTGACAAATGAAAGTTGAACAAAATATTTCTAATMTTAAAAATTTTATTCCATGTTGTAGACAGCCAAAATTTTGTACATATCTGGTACCATATTAGAAATAATTTATCATTCTTTATAATATTCAATATCATAATACATTGGAACTTTAAAAAAAAACAAAACAGATCAGGGCTGGGGATGTGGCTCAAGCGGTAGCGCGCTCGCCTGGCATGTGTGCGGCCCGGGTTCGATCCTCAACACCAGATACCAACAAAGATGTTGTGTCCGCCGAGAACTAAAAAATAAATGTTAAAAATTCTCTCTCTATCTCTCTCTCTCTCTTCTCTCACTCTCTCTTAAAAAAAAAAAAAAAACAGATCAAACATACACAAGCGTTGAATAGAAAGTGGGCTGAGGACAACGAAGTACAGAACTGTATGGCCTGTGGGAAAGGCTTCTCGGTCACAGTGAGACGGGTGAGTGGGTTGATTCCTGGAGCTACGTTTCTGGATCTCATTTCTCACTGATAGTATTTTAATCATCAAAATARTTCTGCATTTAATGAATTTTTTAAAAATTCCATTTGTTGGTAAACTTTATGACTACATGGAATAATTAAATTTCATGTAGTCTAGTTTCTGGTTAGCCTGTGTTTGAATTTTAGTTTTAAATTCAGCCGTTGTTTTCCTACTGAGTTATTCTATGGGACATTTTCGGATCCAGTGCACCATGTTGAACTCATGTGGTTTAGTCATCATTGAGTTCTTTTAAAGGAAGAAAAAGCAGAGAGATGTAAAGATACATGTTTGAAATAGTACTGTTTAAATAAGTATGTGTAAATTCCAACTGAAGACAGTATTTCTGAAACATTTGGCAAATAGATATAGTTCTTTGTTCRATAAGTGTGTTTTCACACTTAAAATATGCTTTTTAGAGTTCTTTTGAAAATTTTATGATTAAAAACAGGCATAAAATGTTTATGTAGTGTTTAATAAATAAGGAAGTCTTCACTTTAATGTAACAAAGGGGTTAAATTAACATGTTAAAATATTCTTTCATTAAGTAATAGGATAATCACTGGAAAGTTAGTATACCTTTACAGTGTAGTCTGTGACTACACTACTGTAGTTTTATAATGCTTTTGTTATAGTGTTTGTGCTTGAAATTGTTTAATTTTTATCATTTACAGCATCACTGTCGTCAGTGTGGAAATATCTTCTGTGCTGAATGTTCAGCCAAAAACGCCTTAACTCCCTCTTCCAAGAAGCCTGTTCGCGTCTGCGATGCATGTTTCAATGACTTGCAAGGCTAACAGTCATCACAACTCCAGAGTAATATCACACTAACATTAGATTTTTAATAAATGTGCTTAATAGAGGTCTTGGACTTCTCTTTGATTTGGATTCTGGTTGCAATACTAGACCAAATTAGAATCCGTATATTTTGGAATGTTATTGATATCAACAAAAACTCTTCTATTTTTGTGAGACTTGAGTTCATCTTTCATTATTTTTTCCATTTAACCCCTGGAATAGCTTTCATGCCAAGTTTAGAATTAGCCAATGAAATGTAAATAAACTTTGGACAGAAAATAGCAATGTATTTTTTTAAATATAATTTCATTGTTCACAAACAATGAGTACAATTCCATAGGTTCTTTCTCCCAAATTATATSTACAAAGATGTACATGGATCATGTTATCATTTGTTTTTGTTGCACAATAGCACACTAATTGTTTTAAACATTCTCTTTGTGGAATCATGCACAGAATTATAAAACTTTCTATCTTTATCATTTATATATAGGTCTGTAGCTCAGTTTTGTTGTTATGTTATAAATTTACTACTTGGGTGTTTTAAATACAGTTTGTGTTAAAATATGTACTAACCATGAATTGAAACATAGTTTTTGTCCTAATGATATGGATTAAATTCTCTTTAGTAGATTTTACGAAAACCTCTATAAAATCAATTTGCTACTTTATGGTAATCCTGGGATAATATTTAGAAGATTAGGGTTAAATTTTCTTTTTCTTTTTTATTTTTAAACTCCCAATATTTTTCATTAAAAATCCTATAAAGCTTCTCACCTTCACCATCAGTTGAAAGATGAATAACAGAAATTGTATCATGGTCCTATTCTAGTTTTCTCATAAGTGGGAAGTCTTCTGAGGTTAGCTTTCATGTTATATATACCTTCATTTTGTCTCTCATCTTTTAGGAGTCTGAGTTTATTTTTTAATAGATCTGATTTTTTTCCTTTATTTGATTTTATCTTCCCAAGCATAGCCCAATGTCACTGTAATTGTTTTATAATTTTGCATCTTAAAGCTAGAAAATGGTATTGCTATGGTCTTTGCCATGAAAACAAAATACAAAATGATAAGAAAGTATTAAATATTCTACTTCACATTTTCTTCTTACCTATTGGAAGAATTTTTAAAAGTTGTAAAATTTACTTCAAATGCTTTTGAATTGGGATCCATATTAACTTGGAAATCTTTTTAACTTTGAAAAAATAATGCTTGGAAATTACCTCTAAGTACAGCTAGAGAATAGAGTATCACCTAAAACAAATATATTTAGTAACCTCAATGCTATGATAACATGTGAAACAGAATTACCACACACTTTAAGGGTAACTAAGAATTAACCCTCTGTTTGCTGAACAATGGAATTGAACTTTATTTTTTCATTTGTCTTGTTAATTTAGAAAACTGGAAAGCATCTGGAAACCGAAGTCACAAATATTAGTTTATTAATTATCTTTCTAGAGAAGAAATGTAAAGTCATAACATTTATTCAGTTGGAGTCATTTAATAACTGTAACAGCTAAGGATGAGAGTTAATATTTCATTTACCACAAATAATTTATAAGATGCACTTGCTTTCATATATCATTCTGAAATGAAATTATGTTTATGTCTTACCTACACATATATAAATAAAGAGATTGTCACATATTCATTTAATTACTAAAAAGAATTTATAGAAATCCTGTTGTCAGCCAGTAGCTAGCTATTAAGGACATTGGTTAAATCCATGAACTTGTATAAACATATCCTTGAGCATCTATAATGAAGAAATAAATACTATGGTTCTTTATGAAAAATAATAGTTGGGATAATATAAACTGAATGACTTATACATTTTAAATACTAAAATTCTTTCAAAATTATCTTAATTCTATACATTTACATGTAAGTAACACTGTATATGTTGGAAAAACAGATATTCACAATACAGTTGTGAGTTGTTTGTTTTTGTAGTTGTTTTAAGATAATAAAACTTCATAAGTGTTTTTTTTTAAAGATAGTAAAACTTCATGAGAAATGAGAATGCTGGATTAGAATGTCAACTTCATCAAATTGGACACACTACAGACTTCTCTGGGTCTTCCACCCCCACTCACCCACACATATTCACAATTGTAGGGACAGCAAATAAAACAATGTGTGTTTGAGTGACTTTTCTGKTTTTTTTTCCTAATTATTCTCATTTGATAGGTCTCAATAATTTACCTATTTAGGCTATTATACTGATAATMTAAATGAAACCAAACATTCTTGCTATTAACTCAGCAGTTTAATGTATTTTAGAAATAAAAAGGGTTTTCCCCCCTTTTAATTAAAAAGTCCTTTTCTGAGTTCTTGTTGGCTATGTACATTTTAGATGTTTGCTGGTACTATTATTTTTTTCAGTACATTGGAGCTGGCAAATGCAGGGTCTCATTTCTTGGTTCTAATGCCAAACATGTTGGCATCGAGTGTTAGTAAATTGCAAACTACAGAATTGTGAGTTAAAATCAAGTCTTGCTGGCTTAGTGTGTAATAAATTATACTGACAGAATTCTTTTAATAGAAAGAAGGCAAAGTTGCTGGTATAGGATTTGTTAATTTTGAAGGAAAAAAGGGGGAAAAAACACAAAAACCTCAATACAGTGTACAAATAAACATTTTGTTCAACTACCTCTTAAAGTGGAATTAGCTAGTTTAGTAGTTTCCGTACAGTAATGTTTTTAAATAGTAACTGCCAAATTTGTTATTTTCCCATCTCTCTTAAAAAGTCTTTATGATTATTTTATATAGTTTTGGGATCTTTAAAGTCACTTTTTTTAATCTTGCACTTGCTTAAAARTGTTTAGCTTTTAAGTGGAGAGCAAATTATGATCATATATTTTGATATTCATGACCTGTTTGATGATAGAATTTTTTTTTAATGCACTTTGGCTATAAAACCATGGATGATTTGATCCATATGATTTAAATGTGCCATCGAGTTAGTATTCCTAGACACGAGCCTGATGAATGACAGTCTGTAATTATAATGTGCCACACATTACCGTGTCTTAATTGCCCTATGCCTGAATTTTAATGATCAATTTGTTATTGTTGCAGATGTGAATATTGTGCATAAACTTACTAAATTTATGTAAAACTGCATAAAATAGAATTGGAAATCACTAAGTTCTTTCCATGTAGAAGTAATGAACTTATTGTAACATGATGTAGTTGTGTGTAAGACATTCTGTACTTCCTTGGACTGGATCATATATTCATAGCTTCTGTACATACCTTTGCATGAATATTTTCTCATTTAGTTTTTGGGTCCATTATTTGTGTTGTATTTACTACTTGTGATCATGTAGTTGTGCCTTATTTTGTGAGAGAGTTTAGCTCAGTAAATACTGTAATTTCTAACCTCGGTGATTCGGGTTATTAATTATAAATATAACTGGTAAATCACATCACAACATTTAAATCTGTATAAAGACCAATGGAAGGATCCTTGCTGGATTATTGCTTTTGTCTTTTTTTAATATGTTAAAGATGATATTAAAAAACATTTCTTTCTAATAGACGTATTCTATGACTATAAATTATTTCGTCTGTTTWAAAAAAAAAGAACAAGATATACAAAGCCAATCTCAGCAACTTAGTGAGGGCCTAAGCAACTTGGTGAGACCCTGTCTCTAAATAAAGTATTTTAAAAGGGCTGGGGATGTGGCTCAGTGGTTGAGCACCCCTGGGTTCAATCCCTAGTACCAAAATAACAAAAGAGAACAAAATATTAACCATTTTGCATCAGTTTATTTACAGACTATTAGTACTCTGCACTTGGATATATACAGTGATAATGTTTTAATGTCATTTAACTTAGGATAGTAATTAAGTTCCTGATCTCAAGAGAAATTAAATGCCATTTTGCTTGAGACATTTCCTTTTCACTCTATTCCATGTTGTGGAGAATTAACAAAATGAAAAAGAAATATCAAAAATATAAAATTAATCTCCCTTTTTATTGTGTGTGTAATTTTAATACCCAGGTGACCATTTAAAGATACTTTTTTGAAGACTCAATATACTTTTTTCCCCCCTGTCTTATTCCTTRTTGGAATCAAGGGACTGGAGGAATCTTGAGCGTTTGCCTAGTCCTAACACATTGCTTTCCTCTTTGGGAAGTTTATAACAAAAATAGCAAAAATTCCTTGCAAGATGATCATTAATTTTTTTCCTAAAAATATTTATTTTAGCCATAAATTTCTTCATAAATCTTTTCTTGCATAAACCTATATTGTCTTCTCCTGGACATAATTGCTTTTAATCCCACCCAGATACCATCTCTTGGAACTCATTTGAAATCTGTTCTCCTCTTTTTTGCCTTGTCCTCTTCTCATTTATAAATATTTAGCTATATGAACAAGAGTTACCACTTTCCAGATTTTCCTTTTATTTTCACTTATTCCTAACAAATGCCTGACACTACTATAGAAACCATGAATCTCATTCCAATAGTGCGTGGCTCTTGCACAAGAGCTTGTCTGCTGTGCTTGCTCACACTACCATGTTTGCATGGTGACATCTGTGGCTTCCTCAAAGAATCACTGTGCATGTGACTTCTGCAAACATCATCCTCTCTATTTTGTTCTTCAGCTTTAATAAAACAGTTAAGTTTTCAGTTTTTTTGGAAGCAAAATTTGATAAATGTGTTTTTCCAGTTTGGAAACTGCAAAAGACACCATGCCTGAGATTGAAGTTTGTGGACTTCAATATGATGCTGTCTGACCCTAAAAACAGGTTTCCTTAAATTCAGTTAATGGTATATCCCACCATGATAATAGTTCAAGCTGATTTTTCTGATAAAAAATTTGAAAAGTTCTAAGTTCTGTTGAATAAATTGACTATACTGTATTAACATGCACACGTACACATACCACGCAAATCCAGAAATTTTTTTTTCATACATAACCACCATTCTTCAAAAAAAAAAAGATACCTAACTATTTCTATGAGCATCTTCCATATTAAAATTTTAGTTGGTGGATGTAGAAGAGAGATTTGTTTTTCTTTTTTAAAATAAAATAATGGAATTCGATCTTTGGGKTTTTTTTTCCTGTCCAAGTTAGTGTAATATGAATATACCTAAGATGAGTAAACTGACCGGTAGAGAAAAGGAATTTAAAAACTGCTGTTAAAATACAGAACTTATTTATTTCTGAATATATTAAAAGGGCAAACTTTGTATAAAAAATTATCATTGTGTTTGAGGTAGGACTCTGAAGCAGTAAGACTCACTCACAAGCGATATAGGAAAATTGGTTTCATTACTTAMTAGATAAATAAAATGCCAGAATTCATACTGGACACAAGCAGTGGATCTTGTTTTCTTTCTGATATTCCATTTATCTGACCATTCATCCTTTATCAATTTCAATAGCACCACTCTTCGATCATGCTTCCTACAAATCTGACTTAAATATTAGAAGATAGTCTGGATATCAATATGTTGCTGTTAAGAAGTTCCTCAGAGTTCAAATTTCTTGCAGTCATTATTCCTCTATACTAAGGACTTTCCTAGCTCAAATTTTCAAATCTTGGAACATCTTTAGAATGAATGCACATTTCCTTCTACTTCATTTCTAGGTTAAGTGTTACCAAAAGATTGAATGAAAGAATACTTAAAGCCCTAAACTCTAATAAAGTTTGCCACTTGTTTAGGTCCCTAAATTTCAGAGGATTCTKCAGATAGTTTGATTAATGCTATTTTCTTGGTTTCCTGACTCTTGGTGAAGCAAGAGATAGCTGCTGTTATTTGTGTCATCCATGTTTTCTGTGAAAAAAGAAAAACACACCTAGATTAGAATGCTAAACAGATCATTTCTCACCATGTGTGGATTCGTATTTTCCATTATATTTATTGGCTTGATTTTTAAAACTGAAGACTAACAAAACATTTGCATACGTTTTTCATTTTCTTTCTTACCTCTAAATATACCTCTAATCATATAGAAAAATGCAAATGGCTTAAATGAATATGKTGTGCAAGTTGGATAAATAGTCATGAGTAATCAAGGAACCATAATCGTCGTCAATGATGACTAATTAGAAAAATGAGTACTGAGAATAAAGATAGTTTGGAAGTTGATTTTCTTGACTTCCCATTAAGAAACTGAGGTTCTTAACCAGTGGTATAATTTGAAAACCAGACTCTAAGGGAGCTAAATCCAGAAAATTGAATTCTTTAAGAATAAAGAAATGTTGCATTTGTGGTCTGGCCACATAGTTGTTTTAATGGAAGTCTACCAGGGGAAAGACAAGAGTAGGAACTTAGAAAGAAGCCAAARTCAGGCAGTTTCTCTTTCAACTCATAGCTATAAAAACAATTGCACATTTTCAAAGGTTGAAAAATGAACTTGACATAGTTAATTATTGCATTGGGCCCTCACTTAAGCTGACATCACATTATTTGCACTTTGGAAATTGATTGGAGCATCTTAAAAGTTAATAATGTGGCTGGGGGCAGTGGCGCACGCCTGTAATCCCAGCATCTTGGAAGGCTGAAGGATTGCKAGTTCAAAGCCAGCCTCAGCAACAGCGAGGCCCTAAGCAACTCAGTGAGACCCTGTCTCCAAATAAAATACAAAAAAAGGCTGGGGATATGATTGAGTGACCCTAARTTCAATCCCTGGTACCCTGCTGCCAAAAGTTAATGCAATGTGAAGCAATCCTTCCCCCATTTCCTAAAGAAARCGCAGGGAGTCATCTATTGACTCTGCAGCAGAGAAAGCAAGAGGCTGTGTCAGCTCTGCCCTTCCCATGTGAGCAAAGTGTCAATGCTGAGGTTTCTGAGCATAAGAACTAGATGTCTCCCTTCCCTCCTCCCAAAACTGCCTTCCCAAAGCAGGGGAAGGAATTTCTTTTTTTTTTTTTAAATAATTTATTTTTTTTATTAGTTGCTCAAAACATTACAATGATCTTGACATATCATATATCATACATTTGATTCAAATGGGGTATGGATTCTTATTTTTCCATGTGTACAGATTACAGGATCACATTGGTTAGACAGCCACGTTTATACATACTGCCATACTAGTGTCTGTTGTATTCTGCTGCCCTTCCTATCTCCTTCCCCTCCCTTCCCCTCCCATCACCTCTCTCTACCCCATCTACTGTAACACATTTCTCTCTCTTTTTTTCCTTCCCCCTCACACCATCTTATATGTAATTTTGTATAACAATGAGGGTCAGGGAGGAAGAGCATGAGAAGAAGACTACCATTAAACAGGGACGAGAGGTGGGAGGGAATGGGAGAGAGAAGGGGAATTGCACGAAAGATGGAAGGGGAAGGAATTTCTAATTCACCTCTACTTAGGAGGCTTGAAGGTTTTGCCTTATRTAAACTCTGAAGAAGCAAAAACACACACAGTTAAAATACATACTTTGATGTCTTCCGTTTGGGCTTGTAATAAGAATGCTGCTATACACTGTCGATATCTGTTTTCATGTTGTATAAGGAAAGCATTTCTCAGCCCAAAGACTAGAAAGAGATATTAAAAAGACAAAAAGCCAAATCATTTAATATGAAATCTGAACAGGAACCTGGAGTTTGTCTTTTACTTTGAAGTGTTTTTGCTTTGATGAGGGTGGAGTTTTATTTATGTAGATTATTATGGAAAAAATATCTGATTCCAAGGCCAAGACCCCACTATGTCCAAATAGAGCCCACTTTAAGAAGAAAAACCCTGTTTTCCTCAGCTAATGGCTTCTGGGAGTTGAGGAAATGCAACTATGTCTTAATTGACAGACAACAGGCTCCCCATAGAAGCTGAGCACAGTTAAGTAGATTGTGTGTATGTAAAGATGTAGATAATAAAAATATGAAAAACAATAGATTTTTTTTGTCCCCTGTCCCTCCTTTTTTTTTTTTAAAGAGAGAGTGAGAGAGGAGAGAGAGAGAGATTTTTTTTTTTAATATTTATCTTTTTTAGTTCTCGGCGGACACAACATCTTTTGTTGGTATGTGGTGCTGAGGATCGWACCCGGGTCTCACGCATGCCAGGCGAGAGCGTGCTACCGCTTGAGCCACATCCCCAGCCCTGTCYCTCCTTTTTAAATGCTCGTTTTTGTATTTAAAGGGAAGTCACATCAAAACAAAGCTTACAATCAAATTAAGATGGGACAAAAATGCAAAATACCTGAATGTTTCCCAACAGACCAAGAAAAGCCAAAAAAACTGTTTCAAATGATGCAATATCCACCAAATTACATGAAATGTGAAATGGAACAAAAAAGGAATACATAGTTTCTGTGTTTGCAAAAAAACTGTCCTGTCATTTTCTGTCTTGTCTTTAAAAAAAAAAAAAAAAAAAAAAAGGCTGGAGGTACTGGAAGAGCACTTTCCTTTTTTTGTAACAGCAGAGACTCTGAAAATGGAAGGCTCTTCTTGAATTATTAATAATACAACATAGGGGGTAGAATTTTGCAGCTTATACATTTCTTTCTATAGTTGTTAATGTTCAGAAACAAACAAAAAACAAAAAACAAAAAATTCAAGTCAGGGCTGTCTCCTGGTCACATTAAGTACTTCAGAAAGGAGAAAGAGCAAGTGACATTTATTCCTGACACTCCTTCAGTGTCATTGTTACTTGCTGAAGTTTGTAAATTTAAATCAGATTGATCTGAGGCAGATGGAGCTTCATTTCAGATTCAAAGTGACGCAGATTTGTTTTCTTAACTGCAAGAACCATTTCAGTATCACAGGTTATTCTCATAATAGTCCACAAAAAAATTCATAGTTTCTAAATCCTATAGGAAAGTCTGCTAAGTCAGGTCATAGAATCTTGCCCAGTTTCTCTGGCATAAGAACACTTATATCTAATAAAAAGGCTTTCTGGAAAAAAGAACTGGCTGTGTTTGTTTTACTCCCTGATTTTTTCTTCTTATAAATTCCCTGTAGCAAGTGAGCCTTTAAGAGATTATACTGTTGCTCTTGGCTGGTGTTTGGAATCTGTTTTCCTCAAAAATTTTAACTGCTTGGAACTCATCAGTTTGGATTATAATATGGGGATAAGGGTCCTGGCTAGGCCTGTGAAATACAAAAAGATAAGATATGAGTGGGAATAACTTCTTTTCTGAGCATATTAATACAAAAACTAATAACATCCTTTAGGCCCCATGTTAGGTTCTCCACCCCATCTGTTTTGTGTCATTTAAACCCCACAACAACTACATAAGATAGGACAACTCRTTCCCACCTCAAAAAAATGAGGAAGCAAGAAGCAAGATGCAAATCAGTTTTYCTCAGTTCTCAAAGCTGTGTGTGGTGCCCTGAAGTTTGGAGTTAGTTTTCTGTCACTCACTCCAGTGCCCAGTCTCTTTCTCTTGTACCCACTTATCTTTCCCACTCTAGCTCATGAACTATGTTTCAACAGTCAAAACAATAGAMCCAGAAGAACAACAAAATCATAAAAAAAGAAAACAAGACATACTAGTTACAAATTAGAAAATAAAACAGGTGGAAGTATAGTCTTTTTAAAAAAGATATGTACTTTCATTTATTTTTAGAAAAGGATCAGAGAATGAAAACTTCGTATCTTCCAACATAATCTAGTGATGTCAGAGTTCCCATAAAGTTCAGTTTTTTTTTTTTTAAAGAGAGAGTGACAGAGGGAGAGAGAGAGAGAGAGAGAGAATTTTTAATATTTATTTTTTAGTTCTCGGCGGTCACAACATCTTTGTTGGTATGTGGTGCTGAGGATCGAACCTGGGCCGCACGCATGCCAGGCGAGCGCGCTACCTAACTTGAACCACATCCCCAGCCCAAAAGTTCAGTTCTTAAATCTGGCATGTCCCTGACTTAGCTGATCCCTCTGCTAAGCTGCATCCGCTTTCTTGAAGGGAGTTAGTATATCTTCCTCCATGTAAGATGCCAGAATCTTACATAGCCACTGGAGTAAGAGAATAAACTAGCACAGATGCCCTCTGTGATATTCTTTCCTTTGTGAAAAAAATAAACAGGCAGAAGATGGAAGTGGTTTCTGGCCCTACATGCTGAATCCCTGCCTCACCTGCACGACTTGGTCATTCCTTAATCAGGGAGGAGGCTCACACTGGAGGCAGACTCTGCCTGTGCCAGGCAAAATTCTCCTTTGGGGGTTGCTCTTAAGCCACTCTGGCTTATTCAAAATTGGCTTRTGCTGTTTGGGTGTCCAACGTCTCCCCAAGTCCCATGTGTTAAAGGCTTGGTCCCCAGGACTGTGGTTCTAGTGGGAGGTGGTTGAACCTTTAGGAGGTGGGCTTGGTAGGAGCTTTTTAAGTTATTAGGGTGTGTCCTCAAAGAGGATCCTGGGACCTTCATCTTATTCTCTGCTTTTGACTTGAGGTGGGTCGTGTGCTCTGCCATGTGTTCCCATCACAAGCTTAAAGCAGTGGGGCTCACTAATCACAAGCTGGCCTCTCCGAAACTGTGAGTCAAAATATGTCCTTTCTCTTTTATTTTGGTGGTGGTGGGGTGATACTGGAGATTGAACTCAGGATACTTGATCACTGAGCCACATCCCCAGCCTTATTTTGTATTTTACTTAGAGACGGTCTCACTGAGTTGCTTAGCACCTTGCTTTTGCTAGGGCTGGGTTTGAACTCACGATCCTTGTGTCTCAGCCTCCCAAGCCACTGGGATTACAGGCATGTGCCACCGCGCCCAGATGTCCTTTCTCTTTATAAGTCAGGTATATTGGGAATTTTGTTATAGTGATAAAAAGCTGACTAATACAGCCTATATAGACCATGATTTGTTCCATCAAAATTAAAACATAAAAGGCCTTCTGACTTGCCCATGTCACCTTTCTTTTACTTAATATTTATTTTTTAGTTTTAGATGGACACAATATCTTTATTTTACATTTATGTGGTGGTGAGGATCGAACTCAGTGCCTTGTGCATGCTAGGCAAGCACTCTACCACTGAGCCACAACCCCAGCACCCCCATGCCACCTTTCAAAAAGTCTTTTTGAAAGCAAAAATAGAGGGGACAGAAGCTCTATTTCTGGGTCCAAGCTTGCCTTGGCAGAGCCCTTTTGCTCTTGGGGAGAGAGAGAGATATTGAGTCCATTCATAAGTTAGTATGTGGAAATTAGTTAAATATATTTAAGTAACATAACTACATAAATGTGGGCTATTCATCCATCCATCCATTTATTCATTCCCTATAAGGCTGTTCTACTATGTATGGGTTGGTCCTATGCTAGCCACTGAGCTAGGACTGGGGAAATTGCTTCCTGCTACTCCCATGGGATAGGAAGGCAGTCCTTACCCACCTGGCCTCAGCTGGTATAGGAGCCTCCACCTGAGGCAGAGTAGCCATTTGCTTCCTCCTGAACATGCCACCACCTAACCAGCCTGGAGGAGTCAAAATGTCCTTCCAGTCACTCAGGGTCCTGGGGCTTTCATGACAGATTTACAGATCTTTCATTTTTCTGAGAGATCTTCAAGCTCATTGTGTCTCCAGTGTGTCTGCTGAGTGGGTTGCTCTCAGGTAACACTCAGGAAATGCTTGAACAAATGTTTAAGAAGGATACATCTATTTATGTATGATATGCATGTGTGTGTGAAAATGTGTGTATACATGCACAATTACCTCCTGACCAAGAAGCAAATATATAGAGAAATTTATGTATACATTTATATATGTACATGTATTAGGTATTTCTTTCTGATATTTTGTTGTTGCTGTTTGTTCTTTTTAGATATACACGACAGTAGAGTATATTTTGACATATTATACATACATGGAGTATAACTTATTCTAATTAGGATCCCACTCTTGTGGTCAAACATGTGGTGGAGTTACACTGGTCATGTATTCATACATGAACATAGGAAAGTTGAATCCAGTTCATTCTAATGTCTTTCCTATTCTTTTCCCCCATCTTCCCTTCATTCCCCTTTGACATTTCTTTTTATAGAGTGTTTGTAGTAACATGTCTTACACTTTCATAGCATATCATGGTTTAGCAGTGCTTGAACAATAGCAATAACAGTATTATAATGATGATAGGATAGCAATACTAATAATAGCTATCATTTTTAGAGCATTACATGCATTATTTTATTTAATGCTCATGCAAACCCATGGAAGTAGACATCAGTATCCCTATTTTGTCAAGAGGAACCCAAGGCTTAAGCATTTAAGATCCCACGGTGAGCAAATGACTGAGCTGGGTCATTTGAGCACTGGATACCATATCCGATTTATAGAGTGATATATATACCATGTGAGATTGCAGATGTCTTCTATGAAGACTTAAACTAGATTCATGTCCAGCTATTGAAAATGTCCAATATAAAACCATGATGGCAAGCAGTGGAGTTGCATAATGGAAACAGACACGTACCTGACACGTGGAGCGGATCAATGCTTTTGACAACCAATCTATCTAGTGGAATGGGCTGATCGAGTACTATACAGGAGCCACCCTCTTTTATTACAGTTTGCAGCTCAAGAGTAAGTGAAGGACATAGSAAACCAGTGTCTGCACTCCCAAGTTTCTGAAATTAAAGAGAAAAATAAAGCATTATATGGGAAACAAATATTGGTGCACATACCTGAAGGATATAAATATTGGGCTTCATTTTAATATAATTATACAAGCATGAATATAATTGGTTTCAATTCAGTCCCCAGTACTTCCCCCTCTCCTTCCCGCCTCCCTCCCTCCTGTTTCCTCTGCTCTATGGCCTTTCTTCTATTTATTTGTAGTTTTTTAAATTAGTGTATTATGGATATAACTGAAGGTAAAATTCACTGTGTTGTATTCATATATGTGTGTAAGAGAGTTTGGTTAGATTTATTTCTACTGTATAAACTATTTCTCAACATCTTACTATTTTAAATGGATTCTCAAAAGCATTTTCTCAAGCATAGTGATTTAAAGCAAATATATATGACTCCAAATTGAATCACCTAAATAAGTAACGGTTGGCATCCATAATTGGGAAACACCTTAATCACCATCACATCACTGGAATCTCTTTCTAGTGTGGAGTTAGATGAATGAAAACGGGATCTTCATGTTGGCCATGCTGTGTGTGGGCTATAGTATGAAACCATAAATAGATTCTATGTTCTAGAATTTGTAAGTAACTGAAATTGTTTCCAATATCTAAGATGTTGAATATTCTGAAAAAGTATAAAGGATGTCATTTGCATGCACTGTAAACAGAATAGTAGAGAAAAAGATAAGCTGATAACATTTCTTATTTTTAAATCGAGTTGTGAAGTATGAGCCCAGAATATTGCCTGAATATAACCAATATGGCGCTCCATTAACTTGTGTGCTCTGCTTTGCATCATTGAACCACTTTTTTTTTTTTTTGGTACTAAGGATTGAATCCAGGGACACTTACCACTGAGTCACACCCTTATCCCTTATTTTATTTAGAGACAGAGCCTTGTTAAGTTGCTGAAGTGGGCTTTCAATTTGTGATCCTTCTACCCCAGCCTCCTGAGCTACTGGGATTATAGGCCTGTGCCACCATGCCCAGTTTTGCACCACTTCTTGAAGTGAAGGTGAGCAGTGCTGGCATTAAGGTTTTTGAAGGGGGTAGAGATGTTTCAGAGTTTGATTTGCTCAGATATGCCAGTCTCTGTAGCTTAAAATAGGAGGCCATACAAATTCTGAAACACTGATTGTCAGTGTTCTCCCACACCCACTCCCTCCCTAGCTAACCATCAGCTATTCATAGATTGATTAATGGGTATCTATTTTATGGCTTTAAGATCTTTGAATTATTTAGCTCAACTGACCAACCTGTCATCAAGAAGCTTGGTTCATGAAAATACATGAGATGCTTACTCTCTTGATATTATCTGTATGAGGCAAGTCATTTGGTAAAGAAGCAAGAGAAATAACACATTAGACCCCCCTCTGAGGGCAGGTGTCTGAGAATCTTGGAGGAGCTGCCCTTCTTGAGACTACTCACACTCACCATTCAGGGAGCAGACTATGAAACAAGGGATCAGAAAGAAAGGCTTTGGACCATCASACCAGTAACTTAATTAATAGTGACAAACAACAACATCAGTGATAATAATGCTAACAGTAATACTTAAGAAATATGAGAAATCCCTACTCTTTATAGCCCCAGGTGACTCATTTTTTTTTCTGTGACACCAGCTGTACATATTTGGCCTCTGCAGTTCTTATACAGGTAGACACTGAAAGATCACAGCTCTTTCTAACGTCTATCTTCCCAAACATCGTTTCTCAAGAATAATGTGAGCTTTCAAATCAGAATGAGTGGTGGATACTATTTTGCCACATGGCCACACACAGGTTGGAGGGTCCCCACACTGGTAGCTCCAAGGTGGCCAATTTATAAGTGCCAATGTAGACAAAGAAATTTTGGGATTCCTGAGCTTAGTCAGGTCAGGCCCCATGGTTTCTGTATACCTTGAGGGTATACAGACTAAGTTGTTCTTAAATGGATATCTCCCTTAACAAACTTGAGAAATGCAATTTGCTTATTATTTATATAAATTTTTAGAGGGAAAGATCCAATTGAATGTATAAGAATATTGTGTGGTTTGAACAGAGCCTATTTGAAATATTTTTTTTATCTAATTTAGAAATGTATTTAGAAATAGTTTTACCTTTTTGCTGCGTTTAGTTTTTGTAATTAAGAGGAAATCATCAAAGAGGAAGAGATACACATCTAGGAATCTTGTGCTTTCTGAGAAAAGAAAGAGAAGGTTAAAATGGGGACTTGAAATAGTAGGTAGAATTTTTTTTTAATTTTTAAATCAAAGAATCTCTTAGAAAACAAAACAGGGTGGGCTTGTAGCTCAGGGAGATCCCATCAAGTGAATCAGAAAACTGTCTTCCTCAGCGTCGAATTGATTTCTTCCTAAGACCTGATTAGAGCTCAAGCTTTCAACTTTAAGGACATTGTATTTGTGATGCATTTCAAGAAAATCTAAGGTAACTCATGATATTTTCTAGGGTTTCAACTAAGCCCAGTACAAATCCATTAGCAAATTGAACTTGCTGCATTTTTCCATCTTAACTCAACTATTTGGGTGGTCACTGGCCAAGACCCATGTTTACTCAGAAAAAAAAAAAAGAGATGTTTTTGTCCTTGTTATGGACTGAACTGGGACCCCCTACCCCAATTCATACATTGAAGCCCTAACCCCAGTGTGGTTGTATATGGGGTAAGGAAGTAATTAAGGTAAAACAGGTCATGAGGATAACCCAATAGGATTAGTGTCCTCTCTCTCTCTGCCATATGAGGACACAATAAGAAGGAGGACATCCACAGGCCAGGAAGAGAGCCTGCCCAGGAACCACCAGGAACAAAATAGACTAGTGCCTCCATCGGAGACTTCTGCCTCCAATGTATGAGAAACGATTTCTGTTGCCACCTGGTCTGTGGAATTTTGTTTGGATGCTCTGTTTGACTAAAACAGTCATTAAACTACTTATTTCCCATGTTTCACAATGTGTCTATATAATTGAATATTATCCACATAGTTTTAAGATTACAAACTTTTCTGGTAACTGAGCCAGGGGACAAAAAGGCAGTCAGTGTAGGTAGTGAATGATTGGGCTAGAAAGATGGGGGCTGATTCAGGAGGAAATGAAATGTTACTACCTTCAGGACACTTCCCCCTCCTCTACCTGTTGCCAAGGTGACCCGCCTCCAGGGGACTGTTCTTGCCTATAAGGAGTTGTTAATGAATGAATGCCTCCTGGGCCGCTGGCTTCCTTTCCCCACCCAGGATCRCTCCACCTGTGGCCCACCTTTAGGGTCCGCTAGTCATATAGCAGGAAGGCAGATGGAGAGAGACAGGATGGGGGAGAAGAGAGCAGGAGAACAAAGGAAATCTAAAATGTATAAAAGGGGCAGAACACCACCCYCCTTCCTCAGACACCCAGCTCCAGGGACCCTTCTCTGCAGAGAAGTCTGTCTCTGTTTTATCCTTTAAATAAAACTTGCATCACCATTTCTTGGGTGTTCAACTTCAACATCTGGGGGAACAGAACTGATTGATTCTCATCACTGACATCAATACCATTTTTGATAAGTTATTTAAGGCAAATAGGCTTTTCTACTTTTCCCTAAGAAAGAAATAGTAGAGAAGAGAAATCAAATATTAGAATAAAGTATCTCTTTCCTCATTTTACTCTATTCATTAGAAATTAGAAAAATAAATGGTTAAATTTAAGTGATTTCAGAGGAAAAGACAGTGTTTGGAAGGAGTGTGACAGGTACTTATAAGAAATCAAGTAATTCTTTTTTTTGCTTGTTTGTTTTTTTTTTTTAGTTGTAGATGAACAAAATACCTTTATTTTATTCATTTATTTTTATGTGGTGCTGAGGATTGAACCCAGTGCCTCACACATGCTTGGCAAGTGCTCTACCACTGAGCCACAACCCAGCCCAAGCAATTATTTTTTGTTTGTTCTACTTATTTTATTCATTTGTATTAATCTGCTTTCACTCCTAGAAAATAAGGTGGCAATGACCAAAAAATGAATAGATAAAGTATTTAGGATTCATTTCTACGTTCTTCTCTTGTATTAAGATGAGAGAAAAGATCCTTCTATGTTTGTATAGAAGAGAAATCAGAAAGCATATTCAATTATCCTTGCATGTTTTTAAAGACTGGTATTGCCTCACAAAGAGTGTTTTCCTTTTCATAAATCAGGCTATGCAAAGACTGCTGTTTGTCCCTCAAAAACCTTCTCCCCTTCTCTTGTGATAATGAACTTCCTGAGTTTTAGTGGGTACACATCCACAGAGAATAAATAATACATCTCCTGTTTTCCCTTATAGCTGGATATAACCAAGGAACTAAATTCTGAGTCACATTGCCACTTATGAGTCATATCCTGGGAGGGTGGGCCGAGTCCTTTCGTGGCCCCCTCCTCCTCACGTTGGTGGGTCACCCTGAGACACACAGAAGAAAGCAATGTCTAAGAGACAGCAATAACACAGAGGAAGTTGGGTCCCTAAACATTTTGTGGAGTGGAGCAGTCGTATAGTTTGGGATTGAACACGAGAGAGGAATAATCTTTTAAAATGATTGATGTCTCTCCAGTGGCTGAATCTATATCTCAGCTAACACAGAGGGCTAGGAATGGGATGTCTGGACAGTTTTAGATCTTCCATCTTGGTCAACTCAGGCTTCAGTAATAAAATATCATAAGCTAGGTGCCTTAAACCATACAAATTTATTTCCCACAATTCAGGAGGCTGGGAAATCCAAGCTCAAAGTACTGGCCGATTTAACATCCAGGAAGGGCTCTCTTCCCACTTGCAGATGGCTGTCTCCCAATATGTCCTCYGTGGCAAAGGAAGAGAACAAGCTCTCTTGTGTCCTGCTGTGAGGGCACATAACCAATTAGATCAGGGCTCCACTCCTGTGCCTCATTTTATCTTAATTACTTCCCATACACCTTACACCGGGGGTTAGGGCCTCAGTATATGGACTGTGTGTGCACAGCAGGGAGGGGGTGTGATTCAGTCCATAGCAACCCATAAGACCTGTTTATTTGTTTTCCTCACCTTCTGCTGCTCTCACATGAATGAGCTTGATGAGCACTGTTAAAAATGAAATAATTTTATGTTTTCTTCCTAATTTCATATGAACAAATGGGTAACAAAGACCTTCTATGTCCTAGACTTTATTGTAGGAAATTTTGATTGTTTTCAAACAGTTTATGGAGCCCCCCATGTTCCACCAAGTAGCCAACAAACTTGGAACATCTATTGTGCATCAATCATTTAGACAGTCATTTAGACACTGTCCTGCCTTCAGGGAGCTTTAGTTCTAGGGGAGCCAATTTGTAGCAAACCTGCAAACAAGGTCTAAAATAAGATAGACGTATCTAGAAATGATTATTGCTAGGGAGAAAAATATGATCGTTTCTGAAAGTCAAGGACTGAGGAGGAAGATGGTAAGTTCCAAGTCAGTTCACATTATTCCAGTAATTTAAGGCTATTGAAGCCCAGTGATAACTTTCACCGAGATGGGTAATGAACACGGTGAGTTGGGAATTAGAAAGATATAATTGCTATGCAACCTGACCTGAGACTTACACATTTTTTGCAATGGTGTGTCAACCTGGTCTTTCTTGTCTTCATAGATTCTGAACTGTGGTAGAGCATGGAGCAGCACTACCGCCTTACTTCTGTTCTGCAGCAGTGTGAATAGCACCTGCGCTTTGGGTGTTACAGCTGTGGGGCAGACAGAATCTACCCCTCACTGACTGTTTTATTTAGAGCTGCCAGTCGAAAGGGAGCAATACATTTGGGAAGGAAGCACACAGCCTGAATGCCAATGGCAATTATGGTTAGGCTCTGAAAGTTATGAAAACGAGTACCTTCCAGCAATAAAAAAGGAACATACTTATTTGGTCACCATAGTACAGTTTTGAAGACTGGAAGAAATTTGGAAACACAATCTATGCGTCAAGTTTCATTACCATCATTGTCATCGTCATCATCATTATTAACATTTAGAGAGGAGGTTAAGGAAATTTAATCAGTTTTCCCAGAGCCACATTTGGTGCTAGATCCCCTGATTTTTTTCTTTCTCTTTTTTTTAAATCGCTGCTAGGATTGAGCACAGGGCCTTGTGCATGGCAAACTTGAGCTCTACTTGAGCTGACCTACTTCCCCAGAACCTCCGCTGATTCTTGACTCAGTACTTTTCCCATCCAAAAACAATGTCCAATTTCTTCTAATGCTATTATCCCTGCCCCATCAAATCCATGTTCAACTCTAAGGCAGAGTTCYACTGACTTGAAACTTGATTCCCTGCTATAATCTATGGGGGTCTCCTCTCTGCTGGAGTTTTCTTAAACCAGATTCTACCATCAAACAATGTCCTGGTATTAGTAATGAGCTACATCTCATCCCCATTCTGCCACAGGTGATTCTATAAGAAGAATTTTCTAGAAAAGGTGGGTCTACGTGTAAAGTACTGGCCAAGTCTTAGGTGAATCTCCACCTGTGCTTCCATGACAGTACATGACAGATGTTCGATCAGCTTGCCTATGACTTCTCATCATGCCTGCACCTGAACCTTACATTGACTCCCTGACCACTCCCTCCATCAATACAGATTATAACACTTGAAGGCATCTGTGGTCTATTTCCTCTTCATCCACGGTATCAATCATAAAGTCTTTCTGTTCTGCCTCTGAATGCCAATGGCATTCTTGCATTTATCCTTTGCTATCATGCTYATTTCCTACATAGACCAGTGCCTCTCACACTGGCAGGAGGTTGGCAGGTAGAGGGAACGGGAAACAAAATCTCTGATAACTTTAGGTGGAGGCCAGTTTTGGAGGGAGAGGCATATGTTTTTAGAGCAGGAAACAATAAAATTCTTGCTTCATTATTTTGATTTAGCCTTGTCATAATATATAATTATGTTGAAATGATCAGTAACRTTAAAGAAAAGTTGAAGCTGTTGTCTTTCTACACAAAAGTGAGGGATGGTGAATTATTGGCTAAGGATGGTTGAGTTCTACTGCCTTAGGGGCTTCCTATTCCCCTTGCTTCTCCACTGAACTTCCTGCCCCATCTTCCTGCTTTGGGATCCCTGGGCCATTTTGTGCATTGTTTCTAGAAAACTCTTTCTTCAGCACCCTTAAAGGCTTATCACATACAAAGAACTCAATAACTAGGGCTACAGGTATAGCTCACGGGAGAGTGCATGCTTAGCATATGAGCATGTGTGAGGTCCTGGGTTCAATTCCCTGCATGTGTGTGTGCATGCACACATGCGTGTGCTCACACACAACCACACACACACACACACACACATATAGAGGAATGCAAGGACTTCTCCTTGCTTGTGTTTCCTAGCTGGCTCCCTCTGTCTTCCAGGCAGCTGCTGTGATTCTGGAAACCTACCAGGCCCTGCTGTTTACCTGCTGGGTGACCTTGAGCATGATATGAAACCTCCCTGGCTCAGATTCCTCACCTGAAGCATGGGACTGATCAACTTCTCTGTATACTGCAGAAGAAGGCAATTCCTGAAAAGCACTTTGATATAAACTGCTGGACACACCCATCCTCCCTTTCTGACCTCAGGCAGGGATTACTGACTGAGAAATTATCCCCAGAATCTCCTCACAGGATCTCATGCCAATGTTAATGGGCAACTAGCACAGTAGGTGCCCAAGCAATATTTTATGCAGAAGTAACTAAATGAATGATTGCAGATCCCACTTCAGTCAGGCAGCCCTTTCTGATCACCTTACTATTTATTGAAGGTGGACTTTAGGTCCATAATTATTTCAAGCGGTTCTACAGCTATTGGCTTATTTACTCATCATGACAAAGAGGGGACACGGAAACAGGAAAGATCCTGTGACCGGCCCAAGATTAAATAGGCAGAAAATTCTGAGCTGGGAGTGGACCAGGCATAGCCGGGGCTCATAAGGTCTAGATCCTGCCATGAGTCTATCCTCTCAAGAGGCTTCTGCCTCCCAGCCTCTTCCGTTCTCTCTTCATTCTGGATGTCTTCCCTCTTGTCCCATTCCTCAAAGCTCACCTCCAGTCCCATGTGTCCCATGAAGCTTTCCTGGGCCCTTCAGCCTCTAGACTCTCTTCTGAACTTATACTTCAGCTCTGGCAAGTGAGATAGAACCTCCCAACTGGAGGGAGAGATACACAGAGCATTATTCCCTATCTTGTAGTGGTACCTACCAGGCAGGACGTGTGTCCTATCAGTTCTCAGTAAACACTTGGTTGCTTGAGTGCCCAGCTCAAACACTTGGTTGCTTGAGTGCCCAGCTCACCGGGGCCAGGAGTGAAGTGATGATGTGATGACATTGACTGCTGACATTGACTGAGAACTACTCTATGCCAGACCTTGACTTGTGTGCATGTAGACCTATTTTTTTTTGTTTTTGTTTTCACAGCAATATTATGAAATAGATAAAATGACCCTATCTTACAGAGAGTAAGTTCCATTGTGCAGTGTCCATTCAAGCTGGTTGCTCTCTGGTTCAGATCCACTGCTACCCTGGACACAGGTAAACACAGTTCTCCCCATCCTTCAACCAACAGCAATGGAGCAAATTATAAAGCAGCAAAGATGGTGGATTTTTAAACCAGTTATTTACCTGCAAGAGTTAATTTTCCTTCATAGAGAAGGTGTCTGTTGGTTGGAGACAAGATGTGTTCCGCTGTGTGGTCCTTAAAAATGTGTTTCAAACACTTGCAAAACAAGGGAGAAAAATAAAAGAGATGTTGTTAGTGATTGAAAAAGAACATGGGCCCGGGGCAATCAACTCCATCTAGAAAATTCAAGATGTTTAGAAATGCTAGTAGTCAGACTCCAGGATGGGAAAGGGTGGGAAAATCTCTCTGAGGCCCCCCCCCCACCCCCAAAGAATAGCACAAGGGCAGGGGGAAGAGCTTTACCTCTTGCCAATAAAACTAGATTTATCCTTCAAGTGGACAGTGGGGGACTTTCTAAGACTATGGTATTTCCACCTGAATGCCAGACTTCCAGAAAGGGATGCAAGTCCTTAGTGATCCTTTTTTGTACCTCTGGAATGAAAAACCTTTTATCTCTATCCCAAAGTGGAGGCCATATTATAATCTCCTGTAGATGTCTGAACTTTTGGAAATTGTCAAGCCACTTCACTTTTCCTTCAAGATCTCCTGAAAGACAAGACACATCCAATGTATTTTTGAAGGCGTGACACACACCACAGTATCAACTTTAACCAATACTCACAGTAATCAGAGATACCGACTGGCCCTGGAGCAAATCAAAATTTAGGTGTGCTTAATATAATCCTTGCTGTTTAAATATCTGAAAAATTCACTAATTTAAAACCAGCCTTTTGCAGAGAAAGAGAATACTAATAAAATCTTGGTGGTCTTTCTTATATGCCACACCATACACAGCCTATAAGTAGAGGAAGAAAAAAAAAATACCAAACCAGCAAAGACAAATAGATCTTTTTGTCCTAATCCTAAAGCATACTATTACTTCAAGACAGGGATGATATTTTCTGGTAAGAACTTGATTTRCTCTTTGAAGATTTTTATTAATTTTCCAACAATATGTTGTTGCTATGGAGGACTTTAAAAAATTTATTTTATTGGTTCTTCTTAGTTATACATGATAGTAGAATCCATTTTGATAAAATTATACAAGTCTAGGATACATCTTATTCTAATTAGAACCCCATTCTTGTGGGTGGGCATGATGGTGAGGTTCACTCGGGTATTTTCATAGGTGTACATAATAAAATTCTTAGATTTATTCTACTTTCTGTCCTCTTCCTATTCCTCCTCCCTTTATTTTGTTCCCCTTTGTCTAATCTACTGAACTTCTCTTCTTCCCCTTCCTCCCCTTAATTGTGTTTAGCTTCCACATATCAACGAAAACATTCAAACTCTGGCTTTTGGGGATTGGCTTACTTCACTTATATTCTCCAGAGCCATCCATTTAATGGCAAATGTCATGAATTCATTTTTCTTTATGGCTGAGTAATATTCCATTGTGTATATAAACTGCAATTTCTTTATCCATTCATCTGTTGATGGATATCTAGGCTGGTTTCCTAGCTTAGCTATTGTGAATTGTGCTTCTATAAACTATTGAGGTTTTGGAATAACGTTTGAAAACATGGGGGCAAGTGAGAGACCCATAGAATCACAATCACAAGGTTTGTGGAACCCTGGAGAATTTGTCACATTTAAGGAGATACACTTAAAGGACACCCTTCCTTCCACAGTAAGAAGCAAACTCTTATTGAGATATCTCCAGTGAATTTGCTTTTATCTTCCCATCCAAGCGATCCTCAATTACTTTAAAAGCTTTTAAAAAKAATTGATCTTTAATTGAATTTGTTGCTTTGTTATTTGATAAACTTAATTCCAATTCCTTAGGTTATTTTGGAATTTTTCAGAAAAAAAAATTGGAAAAGTGGAAAAGACAATCTCACTGCATTGCTATTTATTTTGTTTTTGAATTGGCAAAGGAACACAAATATGTTATTTTTGTACAGCTGTTAATCATCAATTGGAAGTGTTCCCTTTTGATGCCCACCAGGAAATCTTGCACTATGGGCATGTATCATGGACTTTATTTGAATTTTAATTATACAGAGATACCTAGGTAMACTTCAATCATCCCAGGGTGTGTTCAATTCCTATCCCCAGATTTCTGTTCTTCTTGTAGTTGGCATTATTTTTTTTTGCAATGGCCCTGGACTTCATGATTTTTAAAATACGATGAGTACAATTTATCCTCTAGTTAGTTTTCCATGGGGCCGAGTGCCGTTTGCTTTGTGTGTGGGTTCAGAATGCATGTTAAAAATGAAGTGCCTTCAGTTATCTGGGMAGAAGAGCCCTTTCTGCCTGACCTCGCTTCTGAAACCCTTGGAGACAGAGCCACGTCCTGGGTTGACTTGGTGTGGGATTCTCATCAGTTCACCAGGATGTGACCAGACCCATTGTTTTGTGTGTATGTGATCTGTAATACCCTCAGATGTGGATCCCATTTCCCAGAGTTGTGACCTCAAGTCAATGGAATTGCCTTCCGGGATGAAGCCCAGCTGGTTTCCAGGAGCCCTGGGGCTCCCCGACTCTTCTATTAAGCTCACAGATCTCCAGGACTTACGGATTGACTTCTCCACCCTCTCCTTGATGGAGTAGATCATGATCTTCTCGGTGGAGTCTGAGCTCCTTTTCCAGATATTCTTCAGCAACAAGGGGTATCGAGTAAGCCTGTGTAGCGGGGCCACTAGCAGCTCAGGCAGGTGCAGCCGTCTGCATTGTTCGTTTTGCTCACACCACTGGGGAAGGCAAAAGCAAAGGCATCAGAGTACCACCTGCCCCATYGCGGCTCTGAGAAGCCTGGACCCAAGAAATTCTCAAAGATCTGAAAGGAATGCCCTTGCCAGGTGGCTGGGAAAACTTACAAGCCATGGACTCACCTTTGATTTTGAAAACTCCATTATAAACTGTCTGTAGCAAGCATCYGTGTACCGGTGACAGATTCAGGGTCTGACACTGGGTTCTTAGGTGTGATCGAGAGAATTATTGCACCTTACTGACTAACAGTGTTACTTGTCRGTTAAAGAAAGGCAAGGCTCCTTCATCTGTTTTGCCTTCCTAAAACGGTGACAAGGGCAGAGGTCAGTAGACCCAGCTGTATCCCACTGCTCAGTTCTCCTAAACAGGGAACTGAATCAAGACTTAGATGTAAAAAAAAAAAGTTTAATACTCACTAAATACCCCCTTTCCCCACATACACCTCTCAAAACACCTTTTGTGGTGGAGATAAGTTGTACAAGACATGAGTTCCCGTCTTGCTTACACATCTCATGGAGAGTTTGATTTTGCCCATTGGCTTCTCCTAGTCTCTGGCCCTTGAGAGATTTCTGGTTTCACCAGTTTGGTTCCYGTTCTTGTTGTGATGCATGATTAGGAGCATTGAGGATCAAGACTGAAGAGACAGAAAAGGGGAATGGAAGGAGCTTTGCTTGTTGGGTCAGTTCCTTGACTCTTCCTTGCTGGGAAGTATCAGGGCAATGATCAAAAATGAAAATTGAAATCCAAGAGGCTAAGTTGAGCCACATGATTCAGAGCAAACCAGAAGGAGGAGAGAGTGAAGGACGCACACACAGTTGTGATCGGGAGTGTCTGGAGTTGGGGTTTGGGGAAAGAGGCAGCTCTAGAGTATGCAAGCACAGGGGGAGACGGGAAAAGGAAGATGTATTGTGATGAGCTATACCCTGGAGTTCTATAAGTGATATTTGAGAAACACAAGTAAAGGTGACAATAGCTTTTGCATTAGTTTTGTCTGCTAGCTGCTTCTTTTTCTTCCCTTCTTTCTATTTTTTGGTATYGGGGAATTGAATCCAGGGGTGCTTAACCAAGGAGCAACATCCCAGCCCTTTTTGATATTTTGTTTAGAGATAGGATCTCACTGAGTTGCTTAGGGCCTCTTTGCATTGCTAAGGCTGGCTTTGAACTTGCTATCCTGCTGYCTCAGCCTCCCAAGATGCTGAGATCAGAGGTGTGYGTCACCACACCCGGCTGATAACTGTTTCTTTGAATGTGACACTTCCTTGAATATAAGAGCCCTGGATTTTTTGAAGGTGACATGCTTCGTGGRGGCAGATTGCTAGCATCTATGCAGAAAGTACATTGAGGAGTATTATCGAGGGTGTATTCTCTTCCTCTTCACTCACCCACCCACTCAGGCTCAGTTGATCCTGAGTTCAAATACAAAGGGGTTATTAATATGGGCAGAATATTTGTGTCCCTTCAAAATTCCATATGTTGAAATCCCAGTGGGATGAAATCACGAGGTGGGGCCCTTGGGAGGTGATGAGGTCACCAGGGGAACCCTTTACRAATGGGATATCAGTGCCCTTATATATAAAAGAGACCTCAGAGAACTCTCTAACTCTCTTCCCAATCATGGAAGAATTCAATGAGAAAGCAGCAGCGGTCTACAGCTCAGAACCCAACCATGCTGGCACCCTGACCTCAGATTTCCAGACTCCAGGGCTGTGAGGAGTAAATTTCTGTTGTTTTGAGCTCTCAGTCTCTGGTGCTGTGGGATAGCCGTCCAGATCAGCTGTGGCAGGGATCCTGCCCTCACATCAGTATTTTCCTGCTCTAGACTTTTCCTCATTTTCACCTTTATTCTCAGTTTCTGCCCGGGTGAACTCCTTTGCCTTCTGACTCTTCAAGGTGGTCCTCGGGTGGGCCAGGTGCACTGTGGGAGCCCCCCACCCCCGCTTCCCCAGAGATGTCTCTATACCCAAATTTAGTTATCGCATTTCAGACATTCAGGTACAATTGGCTCAAACTCCCACCAATCCAAAGCCCTCCCTGAATATAAACAAACTTAGGAACGTGAAGATTGTGATGGCTTCATCTGGCTCTTGTTTCTACCCACACCATTTCTTCTCTGAACAGCATGGGTCAATCACAGCCCCTCCGCCTTGGTCTGTTTTCTGTTGCTGTGATAGATTGGGTAATTTATAAAGAAAAACTTTATTCCTTACAGTTCTGGATGTTGGGAAGCCCAAGATCAGAAGGTCATATCTGGTGAGGACCTTCTTGTGGCTGGGGACTTTCTGCAGAGTTTCAGGACAGTTCAAGGTACCACAGGGCAAGAGAACCAAAAAGTCAGAGAGCTGGCTTTTATAACAAAGCCACTTCTTGGATCACCTACAAATCCATTAATCCGTAAGGACAGAGCACTCATGACCCAGTACTTTTTTGAAGGCTTCACCGGTTCCCACCTCGTAACCTCTCTTGAGTCCTTATCCAGCTCCCAATGAGTTATGGTGGGGACATTCAAGCCATGGCACCCTTGGTTGATTTCTTATGTCAGTTTTCACTGTGAAGTCCCCTCATGCCAGCCGTCTTGTGAGTATGTGTTTCATTTCACTGGAGGTTTGGGGTTGTAGAAAGGGGTTGAATGCAGAGCACACAACCCCACCCCCCCACCCCGTACATCATTTTCTTTTTCCATCTTCTTTGTTGCACAGAGTGCGCTGTCTCTTCCCCCTCCAAATCCTCCCTTTCATCTCCTCGCCTTCTGCTTAGCAGTTTGCAGTTCCATAGCTTGATCTTGTCCTTGGGTGTCTCACCGGCCCCACTAGCTGCTTTATCAGGTGTTGCTTTGAAAAGATTCAGAGCTTCCTCCCAGGAACCTGTGGAGGACACTCTTCACAGCCCTGCACACACCGTGGCTCCTGAGAATGAGCCTGGGCGCTGAGTGTCTGGACCCGCAGGACCCAGGATACAAGGACCACCTGCCCTTCTCTGGAGGTCACTTTTCTTTTCTGTGACCTGGTGGAGAGTTTACTAAATGATCTCTGAGTCCTCATCCAGCTCCCAGTGGCTGTGGTTCTCCCTAGGGTGGGAGRGGTGGAGGAGGAAGCAGGGTCTACAGGTAGAGACAGGCTATATAAGTGCCAACTTGTGGGAAGAAGAGGAAGGGAGGAGGGCTTGGCTTCAGTGTCTGACTTGCAGGCTGAGTGGCAGCAGCATGCCAGCCATACCTCCTCTTGGGTGGCTGGAGAGTTTCAGTAGCTGATTTCTCAGCAGCAGTTAGGGATTCCCTCAAAACACACAGCCCTGGGCCACTGCCCCAAACTGCCATGCTCTGAGGAGCAGCACTGACCCCCCGGCCACTCATGGTAGTCAGGGTGAACTGGAAATCACCAACCTCCATGAGATATCAACTAGGCAAGAGGCATTAGTGATAAGTAACTCAGAGAAAGATCCAGAAGAGATAGCAGAAGGCTTTAGTGTTTGGGGAAGCCTCAGAAGAAGAAAAAAAAAAGTTGGTTGAAAATTTCAAAAGTTCTAAGTTTTTCTTTCATCTCTCTATTTTGGCTTTATTTTTTCATGTCCATTAGGGAAATCAAAGAACATAGAGATATTGGACATAAAAGGCTTTTTCATTAATGGATCTAGATCAATGGAAGCTACCTTTTGTAAAATAATACATACCCGATGTGTTTAGAGGACAAATGGAAGGAGTTAAAGGGGCACAAATAAATAAATCTGTCTTGGTGGGACTGTTATGATTTAGATGTGGTGTCCCCTGTGAGACAATGCAAGAAGGTTCAGAAGAGAAATGATTGGGTTGTAACCTTAACCTAATCAATGAATTAATTCCTGATGGGATTAACTAGGTGTTAGCTGGAGGCAGGTGGGGTGTGGCTGGAGGAAGTGGTTCCTTGGGGCCATGGCTCTGGGGTATATATTTGTATCTGGAGAGTGGAGTCTCTCTGTGCTTACTGATCATCACGTGAGCCTCTTCCCTTGGCCACACTCTTCTGCCATGATGTTCTGYCCCACCTCCCAGTGCATTCACAGACCCAAGGAATGGAGCCTGCTGTCTATGGATTGAGACCTCTGAAACTGTGAGCCCTCCTATAAATCTTTCCTCCTCTCTAATTGTTCTAGTCGGATCCTTTAGTCACAGCAGTGAGAAAGCTGACTAAAGCAGGGTTGCAGCATTGGGCTGGGACAGTCATTAGCCTTAGAACCTCGGGACGTTTACGTATCCTCTTCAAAACTCATCTGCCAAATGTAGATARTGACAGTAAGCACCTCATGGGGTTGGTGAGAAGTTTTAATGAGCTGATCCACACACAAAAAAAACATCGAACCGTGCCTGGAAGATCCTGAAGTTCTAGAGCTCCAGACACCCCCCCCCCTCCGAGTTCTAGAGTTCTTAGCTGTTGTTAGCGATTGTTATTCTTAACTATTGTTAACTGAGCTACACTAGCAGACCTGGCCCAGAGTCCCACTCTATTCTGCTGCATCATACTAACTGGTTCCAAAATAGTGGGAAGAATTCTACTCCCATCGACGAGCACCAGGATAATGTATGTATTGTACATAACATTCATAAAGCCCAGCCTCGTGTGGGACAGAGGGTATACAGACCCCAGTGCATTCATAGTCCAATTTTAGGCCACCATGCAGCATAAACTTAAATTCTCTAAGGAAGGTGTTTTACAGCAGGACCTAGTGAGAAGGTCAGCTTCAGACAGATCTGATTGTGAGTCCTCTTTGTGCCCCAGAATAACATGTCTTATAGCATCTTGCCTTGATCTGCCCAAGCTCCTTAAAATGGGAATCATATCAAATTCCACCGAGTTATTGTTGAGACAAAGGGGTTCAGATGTCTGGTACAGAGCACGGTGCAAGGACTCAAAGCTGGCCACTCTCTGAGTGTGCAAGGATGCTTTTGTTCTGTGCTATGGGGCTGTGGAAGGCAGATTCCCCTCCAGCTTTTTCAGAGTCTCTCCCAGGCCCCACATCTTTATTTGATGAGGCTAACCCTTCCCTGGAGATGGAAAAGAGCCCCGAGGAATTGGAAACAGTGCTAGTGTAAACAGCGTTGAATTTTTTAGAAATTAAATTGAATTTATTTTATCCAATATGTAGAAATTTTAAAGAATTATACATACTTATGGATTTCCATGTGATGTTGTGTTGMATGCATCCATTGCATAATGTTTAAGTCAGGTCCTATGTATCTTTATTTGCCTAAAGACCTTTATATGGTTCTTCATTTGCTGCCTTTTGGCTCTGGTGAGCTGAAAATGGTGTGGAACCTCTCTGAGCCTCAGGGAGTCATGAGAACAACGTCATCAACATCATAGGTTTGTGCTAAGAACTAGAAAAGTCCCTCGTAAAGCAWTCATCATTATAAAAGTTTCACGTGTTATCCTAAGAGCAGGACTTTCTTTGCCCCCTTCCCTCAATATCTCTGGATGCTGTATGTGTTCCACAGACTCATGTGAAGCACCCCTCTCTATCACAATTCATGTGGGATTTTTCCATCATTATTTGAAAATGGTAGCTGGATGGACCTTGCTACATTAACCTCTCCCTCCAGCTTGGAAGGGAGAGAAATGACTCAATTCTCTCCAGTTGCTTCCAGGGGAAACATGTGCAGCATGATTATTCTACATATTTGGAAATCCAACGAGCTTTCAGGTTTCAGTTTGAGTAACAAAGACAACACTGAAACGCTGAAGCAACAAAAATAAGCTCAACTCTCTTTGCCAAGATCATTTCCCTTTTCTTATCCCTGCCACACCCAGGCTTCCTGGCAYGCTGAAGCATGGCAAAGGCCCACGGATTCAGAGCTGAGTCACTGGGGACCGCGGCTGTCTTTTCTGCCAGCCTCTTACAGCTGCAGGGGAAGGAGGGTTTTTTGGAAGGGCTTGGACCATTTTCTCTGAATCACTACTGAACAGGTATAATTCAGGTTACAGAAATAAACAAAGGAAGGGTCAAAGGATTGGGGAAGAGGTCCAGAAAAACTGGTTCCTGGTTTACTTATTAGCAAATGCTAAAGACCTAAAGACCCCCCTCCCCAAGAAAGTCTTTCTTGTAATGTTTTTGGGGACCCAGAGATACCATATTGCACAATTCCAGAAGCAACACTTAGATTGTACTCTGTGAGCTACTCTGGGGTGTGTGGGGGGGGAAGCCATGTGTACATGCAGAACACAATGTAAACGGTACTTCTACTTTTTGTGCTATAGGGCTTTTCTGGCACCAAATCCTACCAGGGTCAAACTTTTAGTCACCAACAAAGCTTACATTCTTATTCTGGTTATCTTCTTACCAATTACTACCAATGCACAAATAAAACGTTTCAAGTGCCAGTCAAAATTTGAAAAGGTGCATCAGATAGTGTCATGCTTCCAGATGTGTACAACTTAAAAGTTCCTCCGTGTGAAGTGGAGGGTGTATCTACGAGGGAAGTAGGATTCCAGTTATCATGTGTGGTAGCTCGTTTAGTTCTCTTCTTTCCCATTAAATTTGGGTATCAGAATTCCTAGTATCTTTGACACCCTAAGAGTGTTAGGGAAAATATCGAAGAAGAAGAAGATAAACTGGTACTTTACTTTTAAATAAGTGCTGAAGTCATCTCTCTGCCTCAGGCTCTCAAGATAAAACACAGCCGCAGAGTAATTCAGGCAGTAGGTCTGGTGGCTCTGACAGAGGCTCCCTCGGAAATACTGCAASAGGAGGAGAACCAAGGGCGGTTAGGGAGAGCACAGAGCCCGGCAGACTTCCTCTTTCCCTTCACTAGAATAGGGAAGAGCAAAGGAGACTCCATGATCCTGCAGGAGCTGTGACTGTGTGAATTAGACAGGGAATCTCCACAAGAAACATTCCTTTAAAAATTAGGGTCCTCCTGGGTTGAGGCTGGGGCTCAGTGGTAGAGCACTTGCCTAGCACATGCAAGGCGCTGGGTTCAATCCTCAGCACCACATAAAAATAAATAAATAAAATAAAGGTATTGTGTCCAAAATACAACTAAATTTTTTTTTTAAAAAAAATATGATATTCCCATAATAAAATTAATACCTCAATAAATAGTCTCTTTCCCACCCCCTTGTTTAAAGAAAATTCGAGTCAGGACTTCTTGATTTARTTTACCCTTTGACTTCCACTCCGGTTTTCTTGAGGCCAACACAACATGCATGGTACCAGTGACAAATACTGCCTTTGATTTCAGTGCCCGTGAAGGTTGAGGGTAAGCTGGAGGAGGTGGTGAGTAATCAAGGCAATGACATTCACCTTTTCATCAAATGTTCTTTAAAAATGCCCAGTTGTTTAATTCTCCTGGTTTCTAAAACTATAGTAACCTGGAACATCTCTCTCAAGTTCTGTATTTGAAAGTGTGTTAGAGACATTTAATAGAGAGTCTATTAATATCTCATTCTTTAGCACACTATTTTTTTTTTTAATGAGAAGCTGGTATTTCTCCAGACTGTTTACTAAGAATTAAATTTAGAAAATCTTTGACTTTTAAGGAATTGARAGCGCCTGAGGTTTTAACTAATTCCCCAAACTTTACATTCTCTGTCTTATTTTTTATAGCTTTTAAAGTTTAAATCTGGTTTCAAAGTTGACTAAAGGATCTGCCTACTTCATTTCTAACTTCCTGCTTATTTTTACCTTGTGAAAACTTCCCTTTCTTCATATCTCACCTTCAGGATTATTTTCCAGGAAGTACTTTCTTCCAGTAACTACCCACCTTCTACCCCAAAGTAGAAGGTTTCCTTTGTTGGATGCTTATAATAGCTATGTTTTTTTTTTTCCTGCAGCATTCCTCTGAATTTGATTATATAATCATTAATCCCATTATTGGATTAATTTCTCTTCCTTTGGACTGCAAATTCCTCAAGACATGGAGCTTGTCTAATTTTGCATATTGTGTACAGAATATCATCCTCATACATAGCACTTACGAAGCGCTCAATAAATCCCAGTCTATGACTTTTTATATGGAGCATGAGAATTCAAATCTTGCTAAATGTCCTTAGATAGGAATTGGGTGAAAAAGGTCAAAGTAAAAAAAAAAAAATAGGTGGTGGGTGAGGTCAAGAAATAAATAGCACTTATCAAACCAGGGCTACCAATTTTTCTTTTCTCCTCATTTCACATGCAGAAATATTATCAAGGGTACTGATGGATTTGAAAGTTTATTTTGTTCCTTTCTGAGAGACTGGCACTTTTGTTACAAGAACAATTCAACCATGTAATTAGTGAACACTAAACTATTGCCATGAATATTGCTTTAAATTGAAGTCATTTATAAAACAGACTTGGAAATGGCTTTTCCATGCATGCAGATCTTTGTGTCAATAAAACCMRGAGGAGATGTGGCACTGGGAAAACAAAATCTGCAAGTTATTTTTGAAAATGTTGATTGGTGCAGAAAGGGATGGTTCCTTTGTGGGAGGGTAGTGGGAAAAATTTCCCAGAAACCAAGAAAATCAAGTAGCTATGAACAACCATCCTGGGAGGTGGGTGAATTCATTGCGGGACCCTGAGCTCTCTCTGAGGGATTTTACCTTTGCAAGCACAGAAAGGAAATCCGTCAATGGTGAAGTCTCAGAAGCTTCTACGTAGACCTTGATGATGCTGAAAAGACTGTTCACAAAACCAAGGCTTGTCTAGGGGCAGAGAGAAAGAAAACAAGAGTAGGCACACACGGAGGGCTGAGGGATAAAAAATTGATGAACCTCAAATATCTTTCTTACAAATGCTTCCCATTTCAAATTCACCTCCTAGCAAAATATCAAAGATTTATTTTACTCTCCTCTTAAATTATATATATATATATATATTATATATATATATGGTAGAGAGCAAGAAGGATTTATTTTTAAAGACTTATATATATTATGATATATATATAATATTACAAGTTTTTATAAGTTTTTTATTATACTTTTTATTTTATTATTATTTATTTTTAAAGACATATATTATAATTTTTATAAGTTTTTTATTATATTTATTTTTAAAGACTTATGTATATAACATATTATATACATATTATAAGYCTTTAAAAATAAATCCTTTTTGCTATCTCTCTATCCTCCTTTTTGAAAGATACTGTTCACTTATAATATATGTGAGTAAAGGATCTTCGCTCAAAAAATWAACATTTATAAAGATGATGGAGATCTTAGGAATATTTCTACTTTCTTAAATAGTTGTGGAAAAATAAAAAGTGAGGGTTAAGGAATATGTACAATCTCTYGGAAAATGTTGGTGGATGTTGAGCCATTCTTATAAATCTGAACTTCTAATCATCAGATTATGTGGGGATAGAAGATGTAATAAAGCATATTCAATGTCCATTAAGGAATATAAGTCCTGTGGATGCACCATGAATAAATTTTCAAGATCATCTGGTGAATTTTAACACATCCCTACTTCCTACTTTGACTCACCTGAGTTAACTCCTCCAGGTTTGCAAAAAGTCTCCATAGATCCACATCCAGGAGATATTCATGAATTTGCAGATATTTTAATGTATTCATAAAGATCTTCAAAAAAATAAATGTATATTACTTTTTGTTTTTAAATTTTGAAGCATGCCCTTTGCAAGAACTTTAAATATAAACCTTCTGGGTATAACCTTACAGAACAATGTAAATATCAGTATTCCCAAGGCTGAAGAATTACCCTCCATACAAATCATGACATTTAAGCTTCACAGAACACACGGGAGATGTGCTCTTCAGTGCGATGTTGCTCCTCGTGTGAGGCCTGAGAACATGTCGGTGGAACATGATCAGTCCAAATGGGCTTGCTGCTTCCTGGGGCCAAGGAGTCCCAGAGGCTACCCTCTTGCCAACAGCCCTGACTGGAGAACAAAACAACTCTCCTTCTGTGTTCTCAGTTATTCTTTCCTCTGCCAAAACTCCAATGTTCTTTATTTTCACGGAATTAGAAATGGAAAATTAGTGAGTGAAAAGCTGAAAAATGGTAGAACGTTTTGAGTTGGATCAAGGTATCAAATATTCATGAACACATGAAGGGAGTCTGGGTTATTATTACTTGATTTGATGCTTTCACATGACAGAGAAACTAGACAGCAAGGGAAGGAAGGAGAACCTTCATCCTCACAGATAAGCTGCTCGTTCTACAAACTGAAGAGAGAACAGCTAATGGGCAAGGAATACTGTGGATATATAGGATGGGCCACCTTCGAGGGGACAAAGAATTCTAAGGGTGAAAAGATGGGACASGAGATGGTTAACCTTCTCTAGTTCCCATCCCCCAACATTTCATTAGTGCAGTRTAGAGGGTTCTTTTTTCTGGGGGTCAAGGTGGTGGTAATAGGGATTGAACCCAAGAGAACTTAACCCCAACCCTTTTAATTTTTTTTGATCCTGGGTCTCACTAAGTTGCACACACATGGAGGAGAAGCAGCAAAGTAAAACACTAAATTGATGAGCCTGGCTTTTAACCTGTGGTCCTCCTGCCTCAGCCTCCCGAGCTGCTGGGATTACAGGCATTTGCCATCATGCCTGGCCAGTGTGTGGTTTTTGAACATGGATGAGACTTGCTTGAAGGTCTTGTTAAACCAGACCTTCACCCCCAGAGTTCTTGATTTAGTAGGCCTGTGATGAATCTGAGAATATGCATCTAACAAGTTCCCAGGTGATTGGGATGTAGCTGGTCCGAAGGCCACATGTTCATTACCACTGATTTACAACTTCCCCAATCCTTATAATACTGGTATCTGGAAACCTGTCAGTGTCCAAACATTTAAAACAGTTAATTGTAAAACAACAACAACAACAACAACAAAAATTGAATTCATTATCATAGCTCAACTAGGACAATTTAAAAGAAATATTCTTTCTGCTTTAAAAAAAGATTCATTGCTTTACAGAACATTTTTCCATTTTTAAGAAATACTGAGTTCTCCAGTGTATTTATTTTACCATTTGAGTTACAAATTTTCAATTCATAAGCAACTTTGGGAAACCTGTTGATTGGTTGATTGTGAAAAGGGATGTACATAGTACATAGATATTTAAATACTCTGGGGCATTTGAAAATACACCTTTTTTTAAAAAATATTGGGGATTAAACCTGGGGGTGCTTTACCACTAATCTGTGTCCTCAACTTCTTTATTTATTTATTTATTTATTTATTTATTTATTTATTTATTTTTTATTTTGAGACAAGGTCTTGCTAAGATGGCTGAGGCTGGTTTTGATCTTGGGATCCTCCTATTTCAGCCTCCTCCTTTGCTGGGATTATAGGTCTGCACCATGGTGTCTGATGAAAATATGCATTTTCTTAAGCCAAAAAATGACAGTTTGGAAAGTTGGGCAGCTTACAGTGGGATGGAAATTTTTGTGCTATTTAGTAGGATAAGGGAGGTGCGTTGCTCAGGGGTTAAAGCTCTGCCGAGATCATTTGCTGGTTACCATGGGGTTGGGGTGCCTTTCCCTAACCGCAGCCTAATTTTTACCTCAGTATCTTCTCCTCCCCAGGGAGCACACATGCCACATCATACTCCCAAGGGGTGGGCCTGGATTACCCTAGGTCAATTAGCATCCCTTCCTTATCTAGCTAGAGTAGTGGGTTTAGTGGTGAGCACCTGATCTACGCTGTCCAATCAGTATGGATCTCAAGATTCAGGCCATCCATGCAAGAAGATCTCTCTCTTTACCTGCTTCCTCTTCCTCTCTCTCTCTCTCTTCATGAGTTCAAGGTCAGCAGCCATTTTTGTGACTAAGAGAAGCCAGTCATGGGAGGAGGCTGATGCCACAGAAGGTGGGAATGAAAGATGAAAAGAAATGTTGTCCCTGGTTTTGAGTTCTTTGATCACCCACTCTTGAATTCTCTCCCACCTCTGAACTTCACAGGCACAGGAGCCAGTAAAATCCTGTATGATTAAAGCTAGTTCTCTGTTACCTTTTCCTATAAGCATCCTAACCAATATGGACTCTGARTTTCAGTTTGTGGTTTAAATTTTGCTAAGTAAGGTACTTAGTGCAGTGACTGTCAATAAATCTTACTGATAAAAAAAACAACTGACACTCGCACGTAGCACTTAACAGATTTCAAAGGAAACACTTTGATCACCACCATGATTTAGTGCATAGCTAGAGGTGGCATAGTCACTCCCTTTTTATAGCTTAACTCAGGGATCATCAAACTATTGCCTGCAGGCTGTAAATCTGCACTGCCACCTGCTTTTGTGAAGTATGTGGTACTGTGATCCTGTCGGTCGTGMATATTCCTTGACATATTATCTGTGCCGTTTTTGCACGGTGATGGCAGAATTGAGTAGTTAAAACAAACACCATGTGGTCTGCAAAGGCTGAAATATCTACTATTTGGATTGTTCTGGTTTCAATGTGTTCCCTGAAATTCATGTGCTGGGAACTTAATCCCCAATGCAACAGTGTTCCGACGTGGGCCCCAAGGAGAGGTTACCAGGGCTCTGCTGCCATGAAAGGATTAGTGTTGCTAACATGGAGGTTCATTATCACAAAATTGTTATGACAGTGAGTTTCCCTCTTTATGACCTCTCTTGCCATATGATGCCTTCTGTCATTTTATAAGGCATCAAGAAAGCCCTGACCAGATGCATTTCCTTATCTTGTATCCCAACCTCCAGAAGCATGAGCCAAATACATTCATTTCTTTTCCTTGACAGATCACCCARTGAGATTGTGTTACAGCAACACAAAAACGGGCTAAGATAAGGATCTTTACTATAAATGTCTGCCAACCTCTGGTTTAGGGTATGGAGGACTAGACTTTTCAGCAGTTACATGAGAGTTCAAAGGCAAATTCAGGGTTTGAACTCAGGTCTCCCACGATAGTGCTTTTTTTTTGCTGTGAGCGCCCAGTGCTGTGGGCAGAGGCAACCTTGGTAGTCACATGGCCTCTCTTGTCCTACGGTCTTGGAAGAAAGCTGCTCCCTTTTCTCCTTGCTCTATGGTTCTTCTATAAGGAATTCTCTGCTCTGAGTCCCCCCTAGATCACATCCAGCGCCCATTCACACAGAGGATATCACGATGGTACTGTGTATTCTGATGGCACTACGTTACAAGCGGATGACAGCTCTGGAAATCTGCGACTGTGCCCTGMAGCTGACCAGAGCATTCACCTGGCACTTGTTTGGGAGGAAGCAAGAGCTCTGGGCCAGGAAGCCACGAAAGATGGGATAGGCTGCCTTGATGGTAGCTGTGAGCTCCTGGATTTAAGGATGTGTGAACACAGGTGAGATGTGGATCGTAGATGGGGAGCTGGGGGTGATTTATTAGGTCTCCCTCCATCCTGAAAAGATGGGTTCAAGAAAAGAATGRAGAGACAACTAAGTAGTAGCTAAACAAAAATGAACCATGAAGAAAATGTTCTTCAAAATCCTGAGAAAGGGAGGGAAAAAATCTCTTGACTTGCTTTTATTTTATTTTATTTTTTTTAGCATGGAAGAGATAAGTGAATTCCCAAAGAACCAAATTGATATTTTTCATGTATTATAAAAATGAAAGCCTGTGTTACCATCTTAAGAACCAATAAATGGTCCAAGAGATAAGTGCATTCACTCGTGAAGAGTTCCCACACAGCCTCTTGCTGCTTTCCCAAGTCTGATCCATCAGGGGGGAGTTTCTGACGTGTTTCCATGACTTCGTTCCAGGTCTTATCCTGTACGTGGGGAGAAAAGAGAGAACAACACATTCCGCCCYCCGTGGTTGACCTGCCTGCCGTCTGCTTTCCTTGCAGTGTGGTAGGGACCCTGCAGGCCCCCCGTGTCCCTGTTGGCAGTGGCTCCTCAAGCTACAAACCACAGCTTCTCCTTGTGGCTGGAAGAAGCCAGTTCTCCTGACACAAAGCATGGGAGTTTCAAAAGCAGAAAAATTCAAGCTGACATTGCTTGGAATGTTGCATGAGAATTTTACAAGTCYGGTGTTTTACAACCTCCAAGATCTGAGAAGCCTGATTCCAGGTTCTGCTGGCAAAGCTCATTGAAATTAACTACTGAAGAATTGAGAAATGAGAGTTTTAAGACTCGACGAGACCTTAGAAATTGATTTATCCCAAACAACTAACTTTGCAAAGGAGATTCTGAGGCCAAGAGGGGCAAACCGTTGATACAGCTAGAGTTATTTGTCCCTTAAGGACAGGAGATGTTCTGGGAAGTGTGCTGTTGGCTGATTCTGTAGCTGTGTGAACCTCAGCTTGTACTTGCACAGACTAAGGGTTGACGATGTCACTAGGCCCTCCTGAGGAGACCCCCAGAGGTGTGGCCTGCTATTGACCAACACATCATTGTGCGGTGCTTGGCTGCCTTAATTCTTCCTTAGGGCTTCATGACCTGCCAGAGGCTCTCATTCCCATGACCTGATGGCAGATAGAGTGACTTTCCCCAGGTCTCAGTGTCCTGCCCAGCTCTGGGCTCCTCCCCTGTGCCAGCCGTACTTTGACAACTTAAAATAATGACCAAGAAAAGACAAAGGAAAAGYTGTGCCACTTGGTAAGTGGCGTGCACCCTACCTTAAAGCGGCAGAAATCGTAGCCCCTGAAGTCTGTGATCTTCACGGAGGACAGGCAGTTTTGCAGCTCGGCGACCAGCTTGTGTTTGTCTTTGCTCTGCTTAAAGAGGAATAGAAACAGGGTTTTCAAATGTGAATTCTCTTTCCTCACTGTTCTCTACTATACTGGTTTACCCATGATTTTCATGAGATTCCCCCCAACACCTTTCTTTTCCTTTTCACACTGTAGTTTCCACATATGAGAGAAAACATATGATCCTTGACTTTCTGAGTTTGGCTTATTTAACTTAACAAAATGTTTTCAAGTTCCACCCATTTTCCTGCAAATGACATAATTTCATTCTTCTTTGTTAGCCTAGTACTTAGAAGGAGTTTAAGTATAATTTCAATTTATTTTGTGGTCATTATCTTTTCAAGTTTCTGTTTCTTTCCTATTTCTGTTTTATTGGGTACCAACTTCAGCATCCGGTATTTTTTTGAAATTTGATATTTTTCTAGAAACGTAACCACGTCATTTTGGTTTTTGACTCAGTAGATGATTATTCATGTTTATGACTTTTAAAATCATTTTATGTGTATCATTAAATATTGTTTTCTACAAAAAAAAATAAAATAAAATGTGAATTCTCAAGGACATGGTATTGGTAGCTTCAGCAACTTTAGTTGATTCTCTGATGTTTGTGAGAACAACTAAACCACTAACAGACCCAGCCATGTTTAGGCATGAAGACTTCCGATGCCTTTTTTTAAAAAAAAAATTTTGCTTTGTTATATATGACAACAGAATGCATTACAATTCATATTGCACAGATAGAGCACAATATTTCATATGTCTGGTTGAACACAAAGTAAAATCACATCCTCTTGTCTTCTTTCATGTACTTAGGGTAATGATGACCATCTCATTCCACCATCTTTCTTACTCCTATTCCCTTTCTGAGCTATAGTCAGATTCCTAGGACCATGGAGGAGCTGGTGGCAGAGGCTCATGAGAATTGTCTATTGTAAATCTCTCCTCTCACTACTGGGAAAAAGAGCAAGGAATGGTCTTAGAATCAACAGAGGGACCCAAGTCTAGTGCCCACCTCTGGTTGATACCTGTCCTTCACAATTTCAACTTTCTGGACTCTGGACTGTAGGACATTTGCATAAGAAAGTGCTTCTGGCCTGTCAGTTCAACCCCTCAGTTGGCATCTGACTAAATAAAACTCACAGTGTTAAATGGACTTGGCCAACACGATGATTCTGTGCTAAAGAACTCCAGAACAGGAAAAATGCTAGTTTCCTTAAAATGGAGCTGCCCACTTTTTGCTGTTTTAGTTTTTATTCTTTTTTAATTTGTTCTTTTTAGAGGTACATGACAGTAGAATGTATTTTGACATATCGTACATCGTGGAGTATAACTTCCCATTCTTGTGGTTTTACATCATGCAGAGTTACACTGGTCATGTATTCATTTATGAACACAGGAAAGTGTTCATTCTAATGTCTTTCTTATGCCTATTCCCCTCCCTTCCCTTCATTCTCTTTTGTCTAATCCAATGAACTTCTATTCTTCCCTCCTCTTCACTTATTTTGAGTTAGCACACACATATCAGAAAGAACATTTGGTTTTTGTTTTTTTTKGGGGGGGGATTGGCTTATTTCAATTAGGATGAGAGTCTACAGTTCCATCCATTTACTGGAAAATGCCATAATTTCATTCTTCTTTATGGCTAAATAATATTCCATTGTGTATATGTAGCACAATTTCTTTATCTATTCATCCATTGAAACGCACCTAGGTTGGTTCCATAGCTTAGCTATTGTTAATTGAGCTGCCATTAACATTGATGTGGCTGCATTACACAGTCTTTATTCTTGTTTTAGAAATCTGACTTCAGGGCTRGGGTTGTGGTTCAGTGGTAGAGCACTCACCTAGAACATGCGAGGCACTGGGTTTGATCCTCAGTACCACATAAAATAAATAAATAAAATAAAGGTACTATGTCCAACTATAAATAAAAAAAACCTGACTACAAAGATAATGTGATTATTGCAAAGAAAATTTGAAAAGCAAAAACACAATAAAAATTAAGGCTACTCATAATCCCCACCATCAGATAATCATTTTTTGATTATATTCATAATTAACTTTAAGGGGTGTCATATTTACATGTCTTTCTATAACTTTTTATTTTTCTTTTTCATAGCTTTATATAGGTAAAATTGAAATAGAGTAAAATGCACATATTTGAAGTATATAATTTAATCAGTTTTGACACATATGTAACCAATACCATCAACGTAAAAAGCATTGCCATTACTTTTTTTTTAAATTTGAAATTACATGAACTGTTTCCTGCATAATTTATTATGTTAAAAATCAATCACCTTAGGATATATAGAAGCCCCCCTTACATCATCTATTTCAAAATTAAATGGAGCACTTATAAATATCTCAGAGGTCAAGGAAAAAAGCCCAAGAGAAGTAAATAAAAAGTGCTTTGAACTAAGTGATAAAAGCTTACAGTATCAGGATCTGTGGGATGAAACAGTACTCAGATGAACATTTATAACTTAAAGTACTTGTATCATAAAAAAATTAGAATCATAATCAAATTATTTTCAAATTATGTCGTAGGAAGGAAAAAAATAAGAGTAGGAGCCAACATATATGAAATAGAGAAGAAATAACACAGCTAAACTTTAATAAAGATCAAACAAGCCTAATCAAGGAAAAAGCAAGAACACAAAAATGAATATGGATGGAAAGGGAGCTATCAAAATAACCCTACAGATGCTAAAAATAGACTAAGGGAATATTGCAATTGTATTCCAACATCTGTGACAGCTTACATAACACAATAACTTCTATATTAGAGAAGGATCCACCTGCTGCTGAGAAGAAAGTATATTCGGTCATTGATGAATGAAATATTCTACACATGTCGGTATAACTTGAGTTTTAAAGGTGATCTGTTAAGAGCATTTCCTCGATTCAGTATTCTATTGCAACAGCAGAAACTGCCCACATAAGCAGTTTGTGTTATCATTCAAACTAGGAAGAAACTATCACATAACTGTGAATAGGGCTTTCTGAAGCCAACTTGGCTGCATTTCAGKGGCATGTTTATCACAAATAATTTCTCAGCTTGCTCTCTTGCCTCTGGGTGCAGGATGCTGGCAGGGATCTGAAGAATTTGGTGCAAAGGAATCAACGTTAAGGACATGAGAAGGCCTGGGCTCTCTGCTGCTGTGGGGCTGAGAGGGGACCCTGGGATGGGTTCAGAGTGTGCTGAAGCCTGTGGCTGGTTTCTCAGGTGGGGTCGGAGCACAGACTGAGGAAATCTATTGTAGATTCTTTAGCCTCCACAGTAGCAAAGGAATCTTGGAGCCAGTTGGGGACCTCCTACAGCAATTGAGACATATGCCTTTTGTTGATGTCTGAAACCATAGCGACTGTGTGTTGTGGCAATAAAAAAAAAAAAAAATCAGCAGCCAGTTGGAAAAGACAGAAATTGAGACAATGGGAGCAGCCTTGGAGTTGTGGGGAAGTGGGCGCGAGCTCTGTTCCCTGAAGGGCACTTGCTGTGGCTTGCCATGGGTTTGACCAAACCTCCTGGTCAAAGCCCAGTGGCTATGCCAGGGAGAGGGAAGGAGAAGCTTCTTCCCGTGGACACAGTAACTTTTTAAAGTCACAGACTCACCTAGCTCCTTGCTGCTTCTTCTATGGCAGCCGTAGCTAGGAGAAGAGAAGCACCGGGAGAGCATTTGAGAGGATATGGAGGACGGACAAAAGTGAGAAGCCAAGGTAGATTCTGGGTTCTCAAATTTAGTCCCTAACAGGTAATTGGGATGCGAACTTGCGGTAGACACTGGTGACATGGAACTAGAGGGAAACGGAAGGTTAAGACAGAGTAGCTACATTTTAAGAATAGTTTGCAAAGAGTGACATTGATTCAGTGAGGACAGACAGGATCTTTAAGAGTTCTGATGACATAAAGGAGGAAGGAGTGTTCAGGTCTGGTGATGGAGACCCCCCACAGTTAGAGGAGTGCTATGATGTCAGGGATAGAACAGACTGAGAGCCAGACTGCCTGAGATGGCTAGAGACAAAGCTCTGTTTTCAGGTATAAGCTTTATGACCTCAGGCAAATTATTCAACCTCTCTGAACCTGTTTCCCCATTTGTGAAAAGCGGGTAAGAATGTTACCTACCTTGTTGGATTGTTGTGAGAATCTGAGTGCATGTATGTAAAACCAGACGTGAACAGACAAGGATATATGTAAATAGAAATAGTGCCTGGTGGCCTGGTAATGTGGTAGCCTTACTTTAGCTTTATTACTAATATTTTTTTATTGATAGGAAGAAAGGAAGGAGGGAAGACAGGCAGGTAAGAAAAGGAAAAATCTGTAAAAGAAGTGTGCAATATTGATGTGGATTATCCTTCATTAGGATATGAATCACTTGATAAGGCTCAGAGGATGAAGAAAGGAAAGAGACGTATTGATTTTAAGGGAAACAGATATTGTGTCCATATGGAAATGGGGCTTCGAGCAATGAACTTTCCTTCCTTGCTGAGAACCTTTATCAAAGACATTTTGTCATTTCACAAGTCAGCCCTCTGTTTCCACAGGTTCCACATTCATGGATTCAGCTAATCACTGACCAAAAATATTCAAAGAAAAACTGTCTGTTCCAAACACGTGCAGACATTTTCTGGTCATTATTCCCTGAATGATGTAGTATAGCAAATATCTACATAGCATTTACATAATATTGGGTATTATAAATAATAGAGATGATTTAAAGTGTACGGGAAGATGTGCTTAGGTTATACGCAAATGCCATGCCATTTCATATAAGGGACCTGAATCTTCTTTTTTAGTGTCTCTCCATTACTGCCCCCCCCCACCCCAGAATGCAAACCACTTAGCATCCCCAATTTACAGGCCTGACCTTCTCAACTGGCATCTTAGATGTCTATGGCCTAGTACTTGGCGCATAACAGTCACTCAATACACATAGGGACATGCTGCTTCTTTATGGGGAAAGAAGGGCCTGATCTCAACAGCTTTAGGACATCCTGCCTGGGCCAAGGTCTTTGCTTCTGAAGGA